CCATTGACATGGCATGCGCATGCGGCCATGGATGTTTCCACCTGGGAAGAAAACCGATAGCCTGGAGATGTCAACTGTGCCGTATAGGAGAAACTGTTACCGAGATAATACACACAATCTGGTCGGTTTTCTCGCCGAATATTTGCAATTTTTAACGTTCGCTCAATCCAGCCTTGTGCAGAAACATATGATTGAAACCCCAATACCGGCCCCTTCTATCGACACCCTTGGTGTTGTAGCCAGTGTGTATTATTTAGTGGCAACTGTTTTTCTCGTTTAGCGGAAGATTGCCCATTAAAAATAAACTGTTTCGCGAAAAAATGGGCAGCGTCGCTTTTGCACACATGCAATAGTATCCGTAAGACGCTTGGGTAGAACCAGCTGCAAGCGATAATCAACTAAGCCTACCGACCATCCCTGGACTGGACCCAAGCAATTTGGAGTACTGATACCTAGGCGGCTACGCAAATAGTAGGAGCGGTCATGAATCTTGACAGGCTGAATCTTCTTTGGACTTTGATATATGTGCATGTGCATATCTGGTAGGTATTTTGTGACATATTTTTGTTGCCAGGATCGTGCCCTATTTTCTCTGATTCCACAGGCGCTTCAAGCAGGTGAATCTGGTTATGGTAAAGTGATTCCGTAAAAGGATATTAATTCGCAATCTATATGTGTATAGATTTGTAAGGTCTCTTCTCTCAATCGTAGCTGAGTGGTCCGATTTCCCGAGCCACAAAGGGGATAATGTAATGAAATTATCATTTATGTTAGATCGATTAAAATTCGGGGTAATAAGCTTGCAATTGCTTCGCCCTTAATGAGATGAATTAAGATCCCCCCCTCCCCCCGCTGGTTGTTCCGCTGGAGAAGCACCTGGATGGCAGCCGGATAACCGGTTTTCAAATGAGAATTGATACAACGTGGAAGAGGGTAGGGTTGATTTTCGCACGTGGGATGTGCATAAGATCGTAGGGAGGTCTTTGAATATCAGAGTTTCATTCGACGTTTCCCCACGTGCGAGATGACGTTCTGCAGATTTTCGACGAGGGAGAAATCGAGTGATGTCTGATGAAGGTTTTCTTAACGTATGTAAACCATGATTATGACGATTTATTTTGTGTATCAAACCTAGGAGCTGTCAATCAAGCTTGCAGTGGTATCTGAGAATCAAACTTAAGCTTCCTTTCATCATTCCGACTAGTTAGCTTCCAGGCATATCTTCCAAGATTTGTGCACCTGCTTTAAGAGGAAAGTAGGTGCCTGGTTAGGGCGGGTACATTATCAATTCGCGTAAATATAATCCCTCGATAATATAAGACGATCCTGGACAGTCTACGTATTTTTCTCTGAAATTGCATTAGCCTCAGCTGTGCACAACTCAAGCTCTCTTCGACGTTAAGAATTGAAGAATCGGACATTTCGAACGATGCTTATATTTTTGACAGCCGAGATGGTGTAACTACAGCTTGTGTGGTACACCTAAGTATTTAGTTAATCTCGTGATTTTGCAAGTTTAACCTGTTGAGTTACATGGCCGGATCTGTCAAAAGCGCTCTATTTCAGGCAGGTAGCTAGTCCAAAGGAAGGGGCTTGTGAGACTGTGAATATGCAGTTGCCATCGGGTACTTATGCATTGTTCAAAGCTCCGACGGCACAGTAAACAAGATTCTGGTAATTTAGCCATGTGGAAGGGGTTCAATGGTAAAATTACCGGTGGCGTCAAGAGTGCCATAAATCACCCCGCTTCTCAGATACTTATGGAGTGCCTAGCCCCTTCGTTCCTGAGGGAAAGTAGCACCAGATAATGCGGGATCTTATTTGTCCCACCACTTCTACCAAACTTTACAATCTTAGAAATTCCATATAGATAGTAGTTCTCAAGCCAATTCACATACAGAGTCGGATAACTACATGTATTCAGCTCGCTTGGGTGTTTGTGGCACCGGCAGATGAATTGATGTCTCGGAAAGTAGCTGGATGTTACTAGTATTATGTATGTTTCAGTTTATTAGCCAGAATAAATATGCAGTTATTGGTGGACTGGATCATACAGTATCACTCGCCTGTTCGAGCCCTTGCACGAATCGAACCCATTTAAATCAATAAGAATGCTCTTGATTATGAGCTATGTTGAAGAAAATAATCTAAGGAGCTCAACAGAATTAGTATGAGGGTAGCGAGCCGAGCGTTAGGAGGTTTACGCTTGGTTCTATAACCTATAGCTATAGCAAGCATACAAACTATTTACGGTGTGTACGTGCGGCGGGTGATCGGGAGTGGAGGCGGAGGCGAGGAAATATTGATACAGCCATGTTGCTCCTGTACTGAGACGTTTCCACAGTTCCATTTCCCCTTGGTATATATAGGTTCTCTGTTGACACTAGCACATGATCCGTATCTTCACCGACTAAATTGTTCATTAGTGATACAGTAATGACCGATCTAAGGTGTTGGTTGATAAACTCGATAAAAGCTGTGTTTGTCTGAGTTCTCTCCTATTCCAACTAATAAGGACGGTCACACGAGGGGTTGAACACGGTCATTATCTATGCATTATCAGTAGCTAGTATTGTGAATATAGCAGTCGAATCAGTCCAGAAGATAGCTTTGGCCGGTCTGAGATGCAAGGCCAGGATGAGGTGATTTGCGTAAATAATGATTAGAAAATATGAATTGGAATAGCCTTGGTAAGTGTTTAATGGTAACAAAACCTCACCAACTAATTGTAATACTGACAAATAATACAGAAAGAGAACACCTCAGGGTTTGATGCTGATGATGACGTGGATAGATGTCAATCGATGTTGCTCAAGCTTCACTCACTATTAAATCGCATGCATGCGACCCAGCTTCTTTAATCAATCGAAGTTTCCAATGCATCTAGACGAAAATGGTGATCGATCACGCTACTTCTTTCCGACCAGAATTAATTACCACCATAATGTAGCGGTTCTCGCAGTAAGGATATTTCCACTTTGGCCGGGGCTTCTTTAGGCTCGTTTCCGGTCAGGCAACTTACTCCAATATAACTTGTATGTATGAATTGAAGTTCAAATCAGCATGAGACCATCCGGCCACGCAATTGACCGTGAGATAGATGATCCCAAGCCTAGTACCTAGTACCCGTCTTCCTATGCAGCTTTTTTTACGCTCGCTTAGCTTAACCAGCATGCACCACGCCAAACACAACTGAACCGCAAACTGTTTGTTTGTTCATATGCAAACGAGCCCCATGAAAAATGCAGAAATTGAAGAGAGGGATGCCGGGTCATGACCGAGAGGTCGAGTTGAACAATGAGCTGAAATTAATCCATTCCAGAGACGCAGAGTCTGGGGCCCGGAACCATATCAAGACAGATACTGAATCCCGCTAACTCAGCCATCCTTCGTTTCTCAACTACCCTCACATTCATAACTGATGGTTCTTGATCTGAATATACTGACGGAAACCTCAAACACGCAACCCAAGACAAGCTATCGATGAAGGCTCTTCAGCATATACAGCTCTTACAATTTCTCCAGAATCCGAGGCATCCTCTGCAACGAATGTGGAGTCCGAGTACGGCGAGGGTTTCATCTGGTGATCGAGAGAAATTGGCTAAAGACAAGACAGGTTGGACCAGGGTCAGAGTTTTAGAGGAGTTGGGCAAAGGATACCGTCGATGAGCTTGGCTCTCGATTATGTCTGGAAGATCAATACGTGTAAACAGACACAAAATTATGTAAGTATTGGCGGGTATCTATAATGTACTATCGCTAATTTTTCGAATATTGGAACGGTCTGATTGGCTGCTGAGTGCAGGGATGTTGATTAGTCAGCACGACACATCAAAGTACTGAGCACTCACGAGAGGAGGAGGATGGGACCGAAGGCCCCTCATGATTGTAGAGGGAGAATTAAATTTTATTTGATACCCATAATTCAACGTACAACTCGCGGTCGCGAGTTGGCACACCCCTAGTATGTATGTACATACATACGTACGGGTTGATTGCGCGCAGTCACTGAAGGACCTTAGACTCATTCCCACAACCAAAAGTACATGTAGCAGGGAATTAGAACGAGCCTAACTGGAGGTGCATTCCCGATAGGCATCAACTAACCTACATGTACCTACTACACATCAGTTAGTGGCCGTGCACGTGGCCCGCCCGCCTCAATGACCTTTATATTAATCATAGGTACAGGTGCGTACCCAACAAATTTGCAAAATGTCAGGGATGAGGGAGAAAGACAAAGAGAGGGAGAAAGAGAAAGTGAGGAGAAAGAGGAAGAGAAGGGGGAAGAGAGCAAACTCACAGGTAAAGAATTAATGGAAACCTTTTGGCTCCCTCACGACCTCAAACTCTAGCACGACTGACTGCCAGACAGAAGCCCCCCTTCTTCCTACTCGAAATCTCGAACGCACCACAACACTCAAAACCAAAAGTTACGAAACTCGGCTATGTACATGTAGCTAGAATGACAGAATCGGTCTCTGATTTATTTTCCGCGTGGACCAGAAATGTTTGCTTCCCGCCTCCTCGTGCGCCGCCTGTCGTTGGGTATCATGGGTTCTCACTCGCGCTTGACCACACGTGATGAATAACAAGCCCCCACCCACGCAATCAACTTAAGTCATGTAACTTTGGTAACAGTTGAATTTCAGAATTATCCCAGCCGTCCGTTGATACTTGTATCGTCAAGGGCTTTATACAAGTACATGTATGTATGGTCTACATACATGCGTGCTAAAAGAAAGCTTCGAAAGTTAGATGCGGGACAATCCCAGCTGCGATAGAGTGTGGCAACTACTCTAGCGTGTTCGCTTATCCCACCACCACCCTCGATAACGGCCAGCTCTAAAGTCAGGGTAGCCACCGCCCCACCACAACAAAGCCCGCTCACGTCCTCCCACGCACGTCCTCCCACGCACGTCTTCCAAAACAAACAAAATATCATCAGCTTTCCCATCCATCTATCCAAGTCATCCCCCGGATAGAGCCATAACACCATTATGGCTCCGACCACCTACACAACCTTGGAAATCAATACCTCAGATGGAGTCGATACCGTCTACCCCGAGAGGACAGAGAAGCTCGTCGAGCCAGATGGATCCTACGAGTATTTCCGGCTCGTTGCCGATGATGAACCAAAGGCCATGCTGTACTTGGTCAAGGGTGCCAATGCATTGATGGAAGAATACGGAATGACCGAGCCAGGTAAATTAACGCGCTTTTCGACCCCGTTGGGCAGCGGTTGATGCGCAGAGCTGACTTCCTGTTGTTGTTGTTGCAGGTGTACAGTACATCTTCAAGTCTCTGCCAGACAACTATCGTCTCTATGAGCACATCAAGTGCCACGGCGGAGCTAACGCCCGACGTGACACCTATCTGTTTGGCCACCCCGCTAGTAAAAGATTCCGCTCAGTCAATGAGTTCATTCCCCATCTCCTATACCTCGCTGGCAAAGATAAGACGTGCAGATGTGTGTATTGCTCCAGTACTGCCTCCAAAAACGGTAGTACTACTATCAGAAGAAGAACAAAACGAGAGATTGATGTTGCGGAAGCGCGGAGAACTGTAGCCGTCGAAGAAAGGCAGAAGGAGCAGGAGACAGCCGGGTGGGTGATGAGGAAAGGCGAAATCGTCTGGGTTTGGGTATCCGACAATCCCGAAGCTGAACAAGATGAAAACGATCCCTTGATTGATCATGACGGCGGAATCTGGATGGCTGGAATTGTTGCGGAACGTCCAAACTATTCCCCTCCGCTGGAAAGTAACAAGACAGCCGGGGGTCGGGGTCTTTTCTCTGATATCGAGATGGATGATACTTCGCCTTGGCAGGAGGTTGGAGATGGGTGTTATACCATTCAGCTCTGCTCCGATACAGAACCTGGTCAGATCTTGGAAAACATCAAACAACGCCATGTTCGACCATGGTTAGCACGTCTGCAGTGTTCCGAAGTACGCAACCGCACCGAACATCCTACAATTCCCATCGCCCGTAAAATGGCGGAAACATTTTGCTTGTTCGACCGCCAGTCGGAAGATGTGGCCTTTCAAGGCGCATTCATTGGCGCCGAAAAGATTTTTCTTAATGAGCCGGTCCGAATATCAAACCAGGCTGATCATTTCGAGGACGTTCTGGTCGTCGAAAAAGTATTCAAAGATGAGAACCTTTTTATGTTGAAAGGCATCCAATACACTGCCTATCCGTCAAAGGAGTGTACTGCCATCACCTTTGAGGAGTTTGCAAATCTCCCATTTCGTATGAGACGCGGTAGTGGGTCCGGGGAGGTTGTGAAGTGGTTTAGACGTAATGCGCTCGGTGAGCGCACCGAATGTTCCGTCGGGAGCGTCCTAGGACGCTGGTACGAGCCACAAGCAGTCCATGCTTGGACTGGATCAACTGGATTTTCCGGAGGAAACCGCGCACCAGGAAAGGGATTGCAGCGTACTGTCTTGGCAAGAATCGTCAAGAATCGAAAGGAAGGCCTTGGCTTGCATTCCCTCAACGGCGTTGACCTTGAGACTGACGTCGAAGTAAAAATCCAACCTGGAAGGCTAACACTGGATGATGCTGAAGACACCCCCCCTAGAGACCAGGTGACCCCGGAAAGAACCTTTAAGAGCGTCAACTTGAGGATCCCATCTGCCACACCGGGAGTTAGTCCTACGAAGGAGATGGAGACGAAGAAAGAGGAGATTGAAGAGGAACAGGAGGTTGAAATGCTTGAAGTCCAGGGTGAAGATGACGAAGAGTATGAAGAGGAGGATGAAAGCGAGGAATTGGCCAGCCAACATGATAAGTATCGTCGTCCAGGACCCGAAGTCCTTTCGCAAAGCCCAACCAAGCGTCGGCGCCGTTAATCGGTACGACCTGAATGCTTCCATTTTTTTTTTTTTTTCCAGTCATTCAGCATACGTTGCTCGGAAGCATCTGCATATCAGGAGGGAAAGCGAAAACAAAAAAAATAAAGGAAAAAATAAAAAGAAATTACCAACCAAAGTCAAATCTCGCCGGGACGAATGATCCTTTAACCATTTTCGGGGAAGACTACATGTGATAGGAGGAACAATCAATATCAACGACTATTAAAAAAAAGGATAAGGTCACTCATTACTTCGAGTCCAACATACCTCTGTCCGGACTGGCCTGAAATCTCAACTGAAGGCAGTGCAAGGATAGCACATGCATTCATCGCGCGATGACCCTCTCGTTAAGAAGAAGAAATATTGAGCATCTGGTTTTTTGGAACTGGGTTTTAACTGTAGCATTAAGTACCGCAAGATTAAGGGACGAATAAAATCACATCGGGGGCGAACCTGACCTCTTCCGGAGCTTTGTAGATGTCCACAAGTGAGAAACACCAGTGCATGCGCTCCCCAGCAACCAGACGCTCCCAGGGTGCGCACCACCCTCCAGAGACTTCCCAATCCCATCCCCATCACCATTGCGAGTGAGGGTCTCCCCATCCTATCCTTTTCCCTTGGTCCCGATGGCTGGAATTGATGAATACTCTGATGAAACGGCGTTGCTGATGATGAAACTGTTGATGACGGCGGTGGCAGCTCACCCAGTGACGATGATGGTAGGTCATGCAGAGCAAGAAACAAAGAGAACAGCCACACTATACAGAAGCTCATAAAGCTAAGTAACACGGTTGGGAAGAAGGCAAGATGCAGACGCTAATTACAGAGCTTACAGAGGGGTTGTTCGGCTCAATGTAACTGATTTACACTAACTGCGGGTGGAGGTGCGGGAAGCGGCCATGGGGGTACGTATGTGGTCTTCTACAGCATGGAACTACTATGGATGGATGCTTACATGAAATGCGGACATTTTGAACGTACAAGTGTGTCTGTGGAGGCTTTGAGGCGTAGGTGTAAACTCGCGATACTTGAGCTCGCGGAGAAGGTTTAATACGACTTCACCCGCCCCTCACTAACCCCCCGCTGACCCATATCACAATATAATTCGGAGGCTGCTGTATACATACACGCTTTTCTACTCAATCTATACAACCACTGCTTGTAGATTAATTCCCGCGTCGCTAGAAAAAAAAACCTAGCTATGTACATGTAGTAGTTGGACGTAAATCTTGCGATCACGTGCATCGAGTGAGACTCCATGAGTCTGTAACTACACACTAACCGCACAGCGGGAATACGTATGTAGCTCCGACCGACCGGCCCCAACCACCGGCGCCAGGTGTTCTTTCTGGCGGTTCTTGCGGCCACATGCGCGCACCGGCACAACCGTTCTCCGCAAGGGCCGGCAGATAAGGAGAAACAAGCAGATGAAGAGCGCCGATTGATCGTTCTGGTCTAAGGCCTTGAAATACTTAGCCCGTATATGAATATATCTAGGCTCTACGTAACAATAAGCGGTAGACAAAGGTGGTCTGTGTAATTATGATTTGTATAAACGATTTTATTAATTTTTGATATCTTAGAGAGACCCTGTGTTCGCCCTGAGTCTGCCTGATTAGAATTGCTATTCGATCCCTGGAGGCAGTGGTACCGGTCCCCGGTTTCCGGGTCTGGGGATAACCTTAAATTACGTATATCTTTTGCAAGGTTTCGATGTATGAGCTGACGCAGGGCCCGAGTGGCCAGTCATAATCGAGAAACCTCTAGTAGAATGATAAAAGCAGGCACCGTTTCAGAAAATTCTTGAGCACTACAGATAATAGATCGATTATTTCAATGGAAAACTTTCAAATTTGGTATTTCAAGCACCCTAACTACTACGTAACTGACACTTTTCAAAGACAAATTGTTAAACGAAATAAACCACATCATATACCAGCTACATACATGTAGCTAGTCCCCCATGAAGCACATGGCCCATCGCTCAAACCTGCGTAATGTGTTCACCGATTGGAAATCTCGCCTCATACTCCACGGGCAACACAACACCATCCCCTTTATCCAACGGCACGACAAACCTAATCTCTCCACCTTTCTTCAACAACCTATTCACCATGAGTTCCTTCCCTCCTGTGCTATTAACGCTCGCAGCCGACATGAGCCCCTCCTCGCGCACCTTCGGGGTGAGAAGCGCAATCTTGAGTCTCTCATCTTCACTCACGGGCACCTGATCAAACAGGAGAACCTCAACCTTCTTCCTCTTGGCGTTGTGCACGCTGATTGAGCGCTCATAAGTGGCCACCTGCTCTCGAGAGAGCATCCCCTGGCTTGCCATCTTCCTGACTGGCTTTTGGTACGATATCAGCACCTCCTCGTCAATACCAAGACTAAGCTCAAACGTGCCACCAGGCGCACATCTCTCCACGGTTGAGTTGCCCAAGAATGACCCATCGACTGTCAGTCCACAGGGGCCCTGCAGCAGTGAGATGCTGGACGAGTTTGTGATCCTCGCCTTGAGGAATGCGGCGGCCTGGAGCTTGGGCACGGAGATGTGGGAGAACTTGACGTTGGGGAGGGTGAGCTCCTTGATGACATGGCGACGTGCCAGGCGTGAGTAGGGGATGGTGCGCGCGCCGGGGAGATCGTAGGTGGTGGTCAGGCCGTAGGACACGGATTTACTGAGAGCAAGACCCATTTTTCGGGGTATGTCGATTGTGTCGTCGTCGTCTTCTTCTTCTTCTTCGTCGCTGAAGAGTTCGTCGACCTCAGCTTCGACATCCAGGAAGACATTTCTTGGACGAGTGCGTTTGCGAAAGAGCTTCTGATGTTGCTGGTGGCGTTCTGTAGGAGCGTTTACACCCCCAAAGGCAGAAGCGTTTACACCTCCAAAGGCAGAAGCCCCTGACCCGAAAAGATACGATGTGGCGGGAGGAGCAGCGCGTGGTGGTGAGCACACAGGTGATGTAGGCGAATACGCAGGCGATGCCTCAGATATGTAAGATGGGCTGTAAGAGTCGGGTGAGTTGCCTCTTTTTCTCTTTTTGACCTGTTTCATCTGTTTTTCTTTTGTGGAATATATTTCTTGCGCAAGAGATCCCTCAGCCGCACCCGCATCTTTTCGAAGATTCATTCTCCAGGAATCCAGCCAGGGAACCTTATCCTCCAGCCCCGTGAATGATGTCTGGCTCGTCGACAGCGTGACCGTCGCATCTGTCCATGTCTCGCCGGCGTTGTTTGAGAATTCGGCACGGTACGTCAGGAGGGCGGTCTCCGAGGTTGTATCTAATCTCATATCGTAGCGAGGCTTCCAACCTGCCCCGCCGGTGACATATGAGATCCTCAAGCTTGGACCTTTCGACTTTGGCGGTTCGTCATCGCTGGCTCTAGCAGGTTTACCGGTGGAGATGTACGACTCGACGGATTCTGTTTTGGGGGGGAGGCTGTCTAGCTCAACCGTGACGGTGACCTTTGTGACCTGCGATGGTCGATTTCTTCTCTCGATTTCCTCCCGGGCTCTCTCGTCTTTTGACTTGTGCTGCCACCTTGCCCACGCCTTCTCGTACTCGCGAGTCTTCTTGTCGTGCTCCTTCCGCAAGTCCTTGCTGGTGGTCTGCGCAGCCTTGTATTCTACGTAAACGTTCTCACGGAACTCGGCATACAGCTTCAGGTTATCCGCCACTGTGCTGGTCAGGTGGTCCCGCGAGCTCAGGCTTGTCGCGTGCTGGTCCATGTAGGCTATTTGGCTCGAGCACGACTTCAGCTTCTCCTGCGCGTCCTCGATCTTTTCGCTCAGCTCAGAAATCTCCTTCTTTAGCCGCGCAACCTCCGGATCCATCTCCTCTTCCTTAGACTCGTCTTCGTCGAATTCGGCGTAGAGAGAATATGCAATCTTCTCCACCACAATGTCGGTGATCAGGGCGCGGGTGCCGTGCCCTTCGACTTTGATGGTGTTTTCGTCTGCATAGTTGCTGATGCCTATGATGGAGATTTCGTTACGTCCAGGCTATTTAATTTGGCGGATTTCCTTTACTTTAGCTCAATTCTACTCCACGATGGGGGAAATAAGGGCGTGCGGGTGCAACAAACCTTGATTTTGACATTCTCAACGTCGCGGACAACTGCTGCGCGGGAAGGGTACAGCGTCACGCTGCGGGTCTTGAGCTTGTTGATTTTGAACACCTGCGTGTTTATCGTGTCGTCGTGGTCGGAGGCCATTGTGGGAGGTGGAATTGCTTAAGAGAGATGGTTGTAGAGCTCTGGAAGGAGCTCTATGGGCCCTTTATATACGATTCTGAGTATATGAGTCAAGCTAGTAGTCGAGTAGAGTCAGAGCGCCAAGAGTATGTGTAGCTACCCTTGCCGCATTGCTTTTCTGGAATTGGCCAGTAATAAAACTGTAACAATGTCTCTCAGAACCGACCGGGACTTGCCAGCGACTCGTACCACTACGTAGATAAATGCTGTGATAATCTACCTCCTCGGGCTCTAACAGTACAGAATCGACAGGCAATCACCCTGAAGAACGTATTTTATGACTCGAGATACCTTGGGGATCAGCGAGCGTGTCAAACTTAAAACAAATAAGCAGATCTATTGCCCGATTAGCTAAGCCCTATTAATTGCATAGAAACCTCGAAGGTAGTTGGAGATACCGCAGAATCTCAGGAATAACGAATCAGACTAGACTGGAATACCACTTACCCATTGCTCTAGGTCTGTCGGATTGAGGCTCAACAAACATTTGACCAATCCGAAGCCCAATATTCCAGTCCAGTTCGTTTCGTTATTCCTGAGATTTTGCGGTACTGACTTTCAGAAATCGGTTTTCCGAATTCGGCACACCCGCTCCCAAAGTGGTTGCTCTGGAATGTGAGCGCTAACCACTTTGGGGGTCCTGTGTGGCGTTGTCAACGCTGGTCGAGTGAGGATTCATGATTGGCTGATTCAGCCTGCCAAAGAAAACATGGCCCTGTGTTTCGCGGTATATGTCCAGAAACATAGCTATGGTGGCTTGTATTTCGAACATTTCTAGGCTTCTTTTTGCGGATTGAGGTAGTTGTGGCTGGATTAATCAATTCGCGAGTATTACGAAGGTAGCTAGCGCTAGCTGGAGCCCATGATGGAGGGAAATATATAATACACCATGTCTTAACGGTCAATGAATGCTTTATTGTTCATTCGAGTATGCAAAGTGGTGATTTCTAAAGTACAGTGGGTGAACTTACCTGGCCTAGCTAGCAGGTCTACTCGTGACGAGCGATCGGTGTAACATTTACGTGTGGATGTCGAAGCTAATTGATATCGTCCCTTGATCGTAGCTTTTAAAGATATTGGTTCAGAAAGGGATTATCCTGTAGCCTAGTACTGGCAAGTTGGAGAGTATAGTAATTGGTGTCGGTGATGCATGGATATAACCTAGCTCCTCGGATCCCGTCAGGATAGATATTGAGATTACCAATAAGGGTTAGCCAGTAGTTAACAACATTGTATCCATAGCTAGAGAGAACACTCAGTACTGTACAAGTAGAACAGATACACCAGACTAGCTGGTATATCTTCACAGTTCGAGAACTCTTCCTCTATCACCAACCAAGTCATTTACATTACATATATTAAGCGTGACGTGACTTTCACCTCCGCCGAGTGATTGAACGTCCTCTCAGAGGAACACGAGGATATTTATACAATCATTTGATTTGAACCCTCGCTTGTCTTTCTATCTAGCACTGACCAGTCTTTATCTAGATACAACCGACTTGTCCTTTCGTCAGCTGATAAGCAGTCGGGACAACCTGGTCTCACCTGACGTCCGTGATATAACCAGCCACTCGGCAGAAGAGATATCAAACCGCATGTCCACAAATTGAAGCCCCGGAGATGGCTCTAAAATTCCACACTGGTCCGGCCACCAACACCGAGTTATGTAGAGTACATACATGGGACGTCTACTTATGAGTTTATCAGCTAGCTGTCTCTAGCCTGGCCCGGGCCACACGGCGTACTCTGCCCGGGTACGTACTCTTGATGAACCAATGATCTGTGGAGAATCCCCGACTGGATCGGCGAACAAGCGAAATAATCACCGGGGGGGCAGGAGAGCCTTACCGCACCCTCGACGTATCCTACAAAACCTTGCCCGAGGTACAGAAATCTTATTATGCCATGCAGGTAGCTAGTCTATATTATACCTTGGGGACGTAACGTACCGATCATGAGAGCTGAGCCTCACGCAAGAGATCGATATCATATATATGTACCTCTATCTACATAGCCACTCTATTGTGGAAGACACGTGCTTACTCACTGCGTAGATACACGATCCTGTTGGTTCGCTCTGCTGGCCAAGCATTCCTCAGGCGCTATCTGGACAATATCAAAATCTCCACACGGGCCACCTAGCTAGACATCAATTCAATGCATGATCTCTGGCTAGTACTGCAGGGACTGTTGATTCGGACGCTTGGAAGAATCACTTAAAATAGATGTTATTCGGACGACCAAGTAAATGAGTGCCAATACGTAATATTCACGGCCCCCGTTATGTATTAGTTATAATGACTGACTGAAGTACGTTCAGCCGTGTTAGTACCACGGTGGTATATGTATCAAAAACCAATGGTGATGTACCACACATTCCACAACTTTTCCAACATCTGACAATCAAACCAGTAATTGTTTTGTTCTCGGCCCAAGCACCATGTGCGGGATAGCTACTCTAGCCATCAATGTCTATACCTACATGTATTTGTGGGATCAAACTCTCTAGCCAATTAACTTGCCTCCACGACTCCAACCCTACCACAATACCATGCATATATCAGGTCAGTCCATTATTTTTTCATAAACTATTATATTAGACACATTAACTAACTATCCTACATCGTACACATCATGGCATCGTTCGTAAACAGGTGCGCACGCCCTTATGAAAGCACATAATGAAAAAAAAAGACAGCTGCTGGTGACCTGCACCACCGCTCTAGACTTTTTGTTAAAAAAGAACTCCCCCAGTCCCTCCGATCCCGCTCCCAGATGATGACAAAAAAAAATACAAAAAAAAGTGGACAAAGGAAAATGTGGGTGTTAAATGAGTGTAGAAAGAGCCCATTCATTAATTGATGGGCCTTTGCTAAGAATTGTGTGTGTGTCGAACTCCGACACCTCTGCTCAAAAGTGCCCGTTCCTCAGGGCCTTATCGTTTCTCTCCCAAACTCGTTTTACCGGTGGCCGGCCTCGCATTATTGTTCCCTGAGGCTGCTGGCTTCTTCTCCTTTCCTTTCCCCCACAGCCTCAGCCCACACGAAAAGCTCGCCCTTCTCTTCTTCCTCAATTTTCCCGCCTGTACCGGAGGCGTCGCCGCCTTCAACTCCTCGTACCTCGCCCCGCTCTCCAACCTCTGCGTCGACGATGCTTCCTCCATACTTGTCGCCGCCGCCGTATCCAGCTCCTCAAAGAACCGCGAGCTCCGCGACGACGACAACGCCGACACTGTGGGTTTCAGTGGGTGGAGGCTGGCCGTGCTAGCGGACGGCGCGGGGAAGATAGTGTAGCCCGCCAGCGCGGTGTTGGGCCGTGAGGGGCTCCGCGAGGGGATGGGCGGCGGGGTTTGTTGCTGCTCCTGGATTGGCGCGGCGGGCGCGGGAGGAGGCGGGATGGTGAGCCGTGGGAGATGCCTCTCCGACTCGAGAGCTGCTGGGGGCGCGGGTTTATCGGCGGTGAGTGCCGTGTGTTCTGCCGCCGCGATGTCTGCTTCGGGTGCCGGCGGGAGGATGTCGGCGTTGCAACCTGTGTTCCCCCCGGTCGTAGCAGCGGCAGCAGCAGCAGCTTCAAGCTCGGGCTCTTCCTGCACCAAGTTATTCAGCTCCTCCGCAATCTCCAGCCTGAACCCCTCCGCGAACTCATCCGCGATTGTGTTCCTCCTCGGCCGTATCTTAACCTCATCCTCCAAGACCTCATCGATCCTCGCCGCAATATCCGCCCCCGACCCGTCCTCCGCAATCGAGCGCCTCCTCTCCGCAGCCGCTGCACTATTATTCTTCGGCTCCACGTCGATATCCGTGCTTATTGTGTCGTCCCCCTCGGCCTCCCACTCGGACTCGGACTCGTCGTCCGACTTGAGGCTCTCGAAATCCGTGTCTGTTGCTCCGCCTGTGCTGGTGCTGTTGCGCACCACGGGCGATACCTCGACCTCGCCGGTGAGAGAGACTTGGGACTTGAAGTCAGCGTGACCGAGAGGTGAATCGGCGACGTCGTACTCGTCTTCGGGCCAGGTGCCGGCCATGATGTCGCGGATTGCCTCGTAGAGCGGGCTGACGGGCCTGTCTGCGATGTCTGCCATGGTGGTGGTGGTAGTGGGTGGGTGAAACGAAACACTTGCGTTGGGGAAGTGTGCGGCTGCTACCTAGCTGGCTAGAGGAAAGGGAAAAGAGGGAAAAGAGGGGAGATGGGGGATGGGGGGGGCGGAGGGTATCTAAGTACTACTCTGGAGATTTTTTTCTTTGGGTAGGCTTTTTTTATTTTTTTAATGTCTCTGGTTCTTTCGGGAATGGCATTTTTTCGTTCCCCCGCGCTACTGCTACTGCTAATAATGGTGGGTAATAGTCATCGAATGGTGAGTAAGTGAGTAAGTGATCATGAGTGAGTGCGGCATGCAGTCAGTCTCTTTACAGACAAGCAGGCAGCAGGCAAAGCAGGCAGAGAAAGGCAAAGTCAAGTACGAACAACGAACGAACGAACGAAGGAGGAGAGAGGAGAGCGTGACGTATGTGGTGTGTGTGTCTCGGATTTTGCAGTTTGGATTCAATAGGCCCGCTTACCTCGGCACGGGACAAGACAAGTGGGTGAAAGCTGTTCGCTCCTGGCTGGTGGGTTTTGTGTTGCGGGTTTGTGAGGGGGGGGGGCGGGGATTGGAGGGGACAGCGAAGACGTGCATGAAGGGAGGGTGTGTTGGGTTGGTGGGTGAGTGCCGAGTGATGCCTTGTGAATTGTTGGTGGGATGGGAATTAAGGGTAGGTTACGGCATGTAGAGTGTGTAGAGTATCTAGCTAGAGGCTGGGTAGCTGTAGAGTTCTCTAGTGGGCACTCTTTCTGCGCAGGTTAGGGGGGATTGTCTAGCTATTGCTCGTAGAGTATGTAGCTACTCTACTCGTAGTCTCCTGGCGTTTTTGGACTGGGCCACTATTGCATACACCCAAAATCAGGATCTTGGCGTATTTTTGTATGGTATGCAATATCAGTCGCGTTCAAAAACGTCAGGAAGTTACGAGTACTCTATTCTAGCTTTGGTACCTTCGGTCCTTGCAGCTCCTCTAGTTAGGTTGAGTACCTACATGTAGGTATCGCAAAGTAGCTGTAGGTAGTCTCTACCCCGGCCATCCTGGGTTGACTATCATTCGCTTAGCTTGCCTGTTCCTCCAGGATCCTAGCGATCGTGCCGGGGAACGCCGTAAGCCTCACTCGTTGCTTTGTCTTTCCTTTTCCTTTTTTGCCCTTGTGCCTTTGTGCCTCTTCTGCCCTTTGTGCCTATTGAACCCCACATCCACTCATAACTTACGGCCGATTATCCATTTCTAATCATCGGGTTCTTTGGGTTTGGTGTTGTTAGGCTTTAGGCTTTGTAAAGGGGGTGGTGGTAGTGGTGGTGGTGGTGGTGGTGGTGTTGGATTAAACATTGACTCTTCTCTAGCTTGCCGAAAATCACAACCACAACCAGCCAGTAGATACCTCCACCTCCATCCACCACCTCCACCACCTCCACACCCCAAACTCTCGCCGACCACTAGAGCACCATCACGACACGACAGAGTGTGACAAACCCCAGGAGACAAAATCCCTTTGTTTCGTGAGACGAACAACGACAGCGCTGGCATGCACAGGGCGGCTAAAAGTATGGATTGACGTGCACCCAGGCAGGCACGTGTGGTGGTGGTTCAGCATGCTCAGCTCGGGATCGGCAGTTCGGGTTGTCAGTCCCAGCTACACGTACCTACCGGAGAGGCTCTACATACTCTAGAGTACTCTACCTACCTGATGGTACCTCTGTTAATACCAAGTTTGTACCTAACTCTACTTGTAGAGTATGTAGAACCTTCCAATGAGTTCCCGCCGTGAAACAGGAATGAGACAACAGCCCCCCCATATTTTATATAAAAAGTCTCCGTTGCACCCAATCCAATTGCCAATTGCCAATTGAGTTTTTTTTTGTTGCCCTTGCAGCGATGTCAGGGAGCAACACGAGCGAGCGAGACGGCCATCATGCACACTTTCTGAAAGGAAGAAAAATAACCACCTACCAGAACCCCGGAACAGGAATCACAGGGAAGGGCAGAGTAAAAATGGGCATTAAGATGTAGGCTGGATGGATTGGGGTTCACGATTCGCTGATGGCACTGTAGTTTACGATGACCGCCGCGCGGGCACCCGCGCGCCGTAGTACGTCTGACTTGGCTTTTAAATATAGCATACATGCAACAATCGCTAAGCAAACCAAACCACAGCAATCCACATTTCGATTGAAAAGAAGACAGAGGAAAGAAAGAAATAAAATAATTATCATTTAATCACTAGATGACCCCCCCCCCCCCCCCCCCACTCATTAGTATCCCTTTTAATTGCAAAATCCTTGAAAGGGGGTAGTGGTAGTAAAGAGAGACAGAGACAGAGACAGAGACAGAGACAGAGACAGTCGGGTACTTACCCCATGGGATACGGATGCATGATCTGGCCATAATACAGCGATGCCTCCGCGGACGCAAGGAAGACATAAGTCGGCGCGATCTCGCTCGGCTGCCCCGGACGGCCGATCTGCGACTTCTGGCCGAATCCTTCCATCTGTTCCGCCGGGCGCGACGCTGGCTGGAGCGGTGTGTGGACTGGTCCTGGACTGTGGCGCGCGCGCGGTGTGGTTAGTTTTTTTCGCCAAGTCGCATCGCAGTAAGAGCTAGTGTTCAGGATATCGATGAGGATGGAAATAACTTACGCTACCGCGTTAACTCGAATTCCCTTGGGTGTCAGGTTTTTGGCGAGCGCGCGGGTGAAGGCGACGATTGCGCCTTTGGTGGCGGCGTAGTCCATCATCTCCGGGGTGCCCCGGAAGGCGACGACGGAGGTTGTGTTGATGATGCTGATGGGCGGGCATTTAGTGTTAGCACATGCATAATGGGCTATATCATCAATGTAACCGGGGAAACATACGATCCTCCTTTCTTCATGTGCGGAACGGCAAATTTTGTCATAGCAAACATCTGTATGATGTTTGACTGGAAGGTCGAACTAACCACGTCTACAAACATCATCATCACCGGGTCAGCTAAATGACCATAAATCAAACAAACCTCCCGTGAGGTATATATCGGAAGGGCGAAATACCCAGATCTATATCCGCAATATCTTTACACATCACCTGCTTGCTCGCATTGTTCACCAGCACGTCCAGCTTGCCGAACTTCTTCATGTGCTGGTCGACAATCTTTCCGCAGTCCTTGACATTCTCAAGGTTAAACGGGATACAGAGGCACTGTCTGCCCTCCTTCTCAACCATGGCCTTCGTATCCTCTGCGTCTGGCTGCTCATCTGGCAGGTAGACAATAGTGATATCGGCACCCTCACGGGCCATTTGGACCGCTACTGCGCGCCCGATGCCGGAGTCACCGCCGGTGATGATGACTTTGTGGTCGAGCAGTTTGTCGGAACCACGGTACTCGATGAAACCATCGGGGCCTTCGAGCTTTGTGACTTCGGATGATGGCTTCATGTCCCGTTCGAGACTGTATTATATATATATTATTAGCGAATTTCCCCTTATTCAACTTGGAATTGAATGAATATAGAAATTTATTTACCCTGGCTGACTTTGCTCCTGCTTTGGAAACTCCGCCTTGAACGTTCCATCCTTCCCTGATTGAGACATTGCACTGCGGACAAACTGGTTACCTATTACACGTAGATTTGGTGTTGCACTTGATATGTTGTATACAACTGCTCTTCTGTAGAATATCGATGGTAGACTTCTCCTTGAGACTGCGAGAAAGCTCATTTTGGACCCCTTAAGTACTACTACAGAACCCCCAGTGGCTCGCGAAGCAGGAATTTAAACATCTGACGACAACCTTTTGAAAACCATGAGCTGCCCGTCTAGCTACGGGAAACAATTTTGAAAAATGTCATGGTGACGCCGAAGAGCCTCTCGGCTTTTCTATGATGTCATCTATACGGAGTGCCCCCATTTTACGTTTTGACAGGGATCGACCCTAACTCCCTGCCTGGACAACCTCGCTAACTCGATCGTCTCCGAAATAGAGCAGGGGCCCGGTCCTAGAGCGGAGAAACTACAACCGCCCAAATTCTTCCGGCAGTTTGACCAAAATGATAAGCTAGACACGTGTTGGTGCGTAGGGTAGGGTAGGGTGAGGGTGAGGGTGAGGATGAACCTTGTACCCTAACCTGGTTATTATGCGTGACAAATAAATCTGGGCCCTGGGATCGATGGGAATGCTGCGGCGTGACGATGTGACTGACGTATCGGATGGTGGGTGGGCCGCTGTAGAGTGCTGGAATGCTTGATCGTAGGCATTTATGTGTGTTTAAATGTTTATTTGGGACCAATGATTCGGTCGAAGAAACTTTGCTGCTGGGATGAGGCCCCCGAGATTTTTATCCTGAGCCTTTACACCTTCTTAGCGATCACGAGGGGTGAATGTCACGTATCTAGTGCGTGGGAACACCAGTATAATATTAGTATATAGCTCATTAAGTAACTTGTTGGTCGAAGAGTCAAACAACACACTTGGAACTTGGGATATTCAACATCCAGAATCTCCATAACGACATGTCATGGCCTTCCGTGCTGTCTCGCAGAAATGCTTGATATCTAGCCAGTGTTCTCGCGGAATAGTAAGACCATTCCGGCTGTATTTAAGAGGCATGGCGATGCACAATCCTAAGTGGCCGATCGAGGGGTGTCACTCAAAATCGAAATCGGATAATAGCTTTAAAGCCGACTCTAGATCTAAATTCCAGTGGATATGGTAAAATGGGATGATATGGGATGATAACGTGACTGGAAGTGAGTGGATGGATGTTTCAGCAAACCAATCCCTTCCGCATTTCTCACACCACGTGCCGTACTGTATCATTGAATGTCACTCGGTACTTAGTATCACTCCGAAACGTGGCTTCTGTACATATATGTTTACCACAAATGGCGCTTTAAATCCAACCACGTGAAAAATACTTAAGGCCCGTGAGGAAGTGGCTCTGTGTAAAACCCTAATGGCCACTGGAAATGTGGCTGTTGGTTCGGTCCGATAAAGACGTCTCAGAAAGTACCTACCTGTACATATTGGATAACCTTTCTCCAGATAATCCCAAGTATGTACATACATGTGATTTCATGTATCATATAGTAATTACAGTATAATTCCTATCCCTTAAGCCGTCAATAAAATTCTGACCCCCAGACAAAAGTAAATTTAGTCTGGCTTTACTAACAGATCTTGCTATCTTTCTTATCAGGTAGTGGATGATCTCCCATGCAAATTTAATTCCTGTATTATAGGGTACATGCAAATATTGACGGTTTAAGGGGTAGTGTAGTGCGTCGTTTTTTAGCAGATTATCACGCCCGGCTCTGACCCTTGATATCCCACGATTGGGGTGGGAAGGTAAGGAACCTCAGAGTTTTGGTTTTCGATATCGCGAGGCTTGGCAAACGCTCTACGCCTCCATCGCCGCCCCAAGACATAAATGTTGATGTTTAGATTATGTTCTAAGCCTGTGCCTAGTAGTATCTTAGAAAGTACTATTATATCCGAATATCTGAGGGGGTCATGTGAGAGGAATAAAGCATAGAAGTGATCTTTTAGGAAGTTGTAACGCATTCAGCTTTGAATGCATTGGAGACATTCTTGTGCCGCGATTTTACCTGCTCAAGGGAGGAGGGCCCATCTTTAAAAAGCCAATAGAGGGGTATTATCACACCGTTACCTGGGTCAAAAATGATGAGTATTTCTGAAACCTTTGGTGGGGTCAGGCGTAATCCATGTGCTTGCGTAACACCATTCTCGGAATGTCGGCCCCTCCTCTTGGCGTTAATGCCCCTCCATTGTTTGTGTACCGCATGTAGCTCACCTCAGTATTGTATTAACTCTATCGGCTGTCCCTCTTCATCTCTTTCTTCCGCTCGTCATCTCCATCTCCATCCCCCATCGCCATCAACTGGCTACCACACGTAAACAGATCATCACAACCTCAACTATCTCTAAACATGGCGGGCTCATCTCTGCCACCTCTATTTCTCCCTATTCTCTTGATTCTCTGCTATGCAGCACTCCCAACTCATGCCTTCGGTGCTGGTAACATTGCTTCCATCTCCAAGATTGAAGGAATGAACTGGCGTCATGGAGATATCGAAGATACTCTGCTTCAACTGATGATGGCGCGTGCTCTGGGTGGGAAGAAGTTTGACTCCATGACCATCAAGCGCATCTACTTTGGAAACTGGTTAAGGGACTACTCCCAAGCTATTGATGTTGGCGCGCTCAAATATGTTGAAGCACCAACCATCCGGCTTCTTGTAAGATCTGTGAGGAATCTATTGATAATCGGAAGGCTAATATTTTCAGCTTTGGATGCTTTCATTCATGACGTTTGGGTACGGAACTGGCGCTTTTGAAGTTACAGAGGAAAGACTGGGCTGCTATCGTCCTGAGGAACACATTGGTATGCAAGCTAGCTGGTTCCAATTGTAGCAATAACGCTAATAGGCTCCTTTAGACAATCCAAAGGACTATGCCGATAACTTGGATGCTCGCGACTATGACCATCGTCTCCGCGGTTTAATCGACGAAGAAATCGAACTTGCTATAGATCCCCAGACTGGTATGAAAAATTACATCGCCAATGAGCACATCCGCGAACTCAATAATGGGGAGAGGATGTACACCAGTGGTAAGTTTCTTTCATGAAAGACACAGCAAGGATATAGGGTTGACAGTGTTTGAAAATCAGCTGGACTTGTACGCGATCTCTTCCGACGCAGTATCGAGCTCGGTAGAAGATATGGAAGAGATAAAACAAACAAGGCCGACAAATATGAGGCTCTGAGGTTGATGGGAACTGGTTTGCATTGTCTTGAAGGTAAGTCAGAATTTTATTTATATGGTGGCAGGTTTTAACCATCTACCTATAGATTTCTCTGCACACTCTAACTACATCGAGCTTGCCCTAATTGAAATGGGAGAGAGGGGGGTTTTCCCGCACACTGGCTCTTATACAGAGCTTGATGTGAATGGAAGAAGGGTCTTTCCTCTTGTGACTGGAACCTTCGGTGGCGTCGATTTGTAACTTTTATCCCGCACACAAGTAAACTTCAAAGCTAATCCTTCAACAGTCTTCACTCAGTTTTGGGTGAGTTTTCCGACAAAGCGACTCAATCTGAAATCGAGCAACTCGAAGGCACTATCAACAATGCGGCTTACGAGCAAGGTGGTCAACACTCTATCATTAGTGACCTTCTCAAAAAACTCCCAATTGGTGGTGCAGCAGATCTCGATTCCCAGGCTACAGAGCTTGAGGAGAAGTCAAAGCTGCAAGCCGAGGCAACCCAACGTGGCGAGCCTTACGGAATCAAAAACAGCGAACAACTGAGAACAGATATTTACCCGTTCCTTGAATGGCACGACAAGATCATGATGGCCATCAACAAGGCACTGGAGTCAATTCCAGGCCTCACTACGATTGTCGAAAAGCTTTCTGAGGCGGTCAGCATCTTTGTGTTTTCATTGATTGCACCATTTCTTATGCCGATTCTTCAACAAGTAAAGATCGAGCTTTCTACAGGATCCAGTGAAGTCATCGGAAGTAGTAAGAACCTTCAGTTTGTTGTGTTTCACGACCATTACTCTAGCAACCCTACACACAGTATGCTATCGAAGGATCATTTCACAAATTGGTATTCTCCCTTCCTTAAAAGTGTAATCTAGTTGTTAACAAACGTGTAGCTTGAATGAACCCGCTGGAAAGATTGCAAGCGAAGTCATCAAGTACGTCGTCCCAAAGCTCATGGATGCCTGGGATGACGAATATATGGACATTGAACCCCTACTCAACGACATTGTCGGTGTATTCCACCACCCTACCTTTGCCCATGGAGGTGATGGTCGTGATGGTATTGAGGGCAGACAACGAATGTTCGGCGTCGTTCAGCAATGGTGGGGCGAAAAGAGCGAGAATGAGAGGCAATTTTTGAGATACTGCCTTTCACGTGAGGGCGTTGAACAAGGCAAGAACCACAAAGAAGGTCAGCACGATTCCGGTCATGGATGCGGTGCGCCAATCCACAGAGTCAAACCCAAAAACTCGGGTGGTGAGTTCGGCGTCGGGGGAGACATGGGAGCTGCCATGGGAACAGCCCTCGAGCAGGCATTTACTGGTAACCAGGGTGGCGGAGGAGGCTCGGGCTTGGGCGGATTATTTGGAGGAATTGCTGGCGCAGCTGTGTCAGGATACCTGGCGCAGCAAATGGGAGGTGGTAGTGGCGGGGGAGAAAGTCGCTCGAGTGGTTTTGAAGAAGTGAGGGAAAGAGGATTTGGAGGTGGATATGGTGAGCGGGAATCAGGTTACCAGCGATCATACGACCAGAGTGGTGGGGTAGGGACCTATCAACAATCTAGTTACGAGCGACCCGTGCCTCGTGATAACGCGTACCTCCAGAGCGATTCATATGGTTCTGGAGAAGGCCGCCAGTACTACGGTGCATCCGGGGAGAACGAGTCCTATGGCCATGGGGGAAACCACGGACAAAGGGGTTATGTGGCCCAGGAGAGTTATACACAAGATGGAACATCTGGGTATGGAAGAGTTGATTCTTTTGGTACTGGCAGACCGTATGGAGGGGGGAATTACGAGCAAGAGGGCTATGGTCAAGGATATGCTGGCGGATATCAAGGACAGGCTGCATATGGAGGTGGCTATAGTGCTAACACGGGTGGATATAGCAGCCATCAAGTTTCTTACAGCTCGCATACGACCCATGAGACTTCCTCACACGGTGAAAGATCTTACGAAAGCCGCGAACAGCATTCACACCACGGCCACCACGGTGGGGAATACGATCATTCTGAAAAGGTATATAGAGAAGATTCTAGAGATGAGAGAGGTGGTGAATTTTATACTGAAAATCGTTGGTAGAAACACCGCTCTAGGAGACACGAGGAAGAGGAGGAGGAGGAGGAGGAGGAGGAAGAGGAGGAGGAAGATGAGGAGGCGAGACGAAAGAGGGAGAAGAAGGAGAGGAAGGAGTTGAAAAGGCGTGAGAAGGAAGCGCGCCGCAGGCGTGAACGCGGCGAGGATAGCGAGGAAGAAGAAGAAGAAGAAGAAGAGGGAGATGGGGAGGGATATTATGAGAGTGGATCTGAGCGCGGATATGATAGGCGCAGGAGATATTCTTAAGCTTGTCATTGCCCTCTTATATGCCAGATTTCTTTTCACAGATACCCTACTATCTGCCCTGTTTCAATCTTTCTTTAGTTGTCGGGGCATTCTAAAGTGTACTAGTTTTGCTCCATTGTGAATCAGATTCTTTCACTTTTATCTCCTTGTATTTCTTTTCTGTGCTTCTTTCGTCAGATACGGCTGGTCGATGCACATATGCAACTAAGTATGAGATGAATCAAAATATAAAATACAAGTCATGGGATCAATTCTTTTGCGCCTTGTAATTGCATTGAAAGTGGCCTCATTGCACAGTTATTTTGCCTCGGATGACGTGCGGAGTTTCGACCTGAGTCCGGAATCTTGAGACAGTAACTAAAATTTCTTAATATAAGGCCGATATTAGCTAATTCGGTGTCAAACTTCCCTTCTCAGCGCTGGGATGTGATTGCCGAGAGTGCGAGGTGGATCCAAGCAATTGCTTTTGGGGGTGGGCAATTTGTCCTATCAAATACACGCGCAGGGTGTGGAATACACGCGCGGTCGTAGCACACGACCTCAGATGGTATTATCGTATCGATGGCTGGGCGGTCCAGTGCCTGACCGTCATCTTGATCTACCTACGCGCGCTTCCCACAAGTCCTAATGACATAACACATAATCTAAGCTCCCATGATATTCCAATTGCTAAGGTGGCAATTTTTTTTCAATTAATGAATTATCAATCAATTGATCAATTGAATCAATCAATCAGGTGGTGATTTTCTTAGCATAGCCGCTTTGTACAATTAATAGACGCCTTCTCGAGCGCGTGATGACATATTCCTCCCAGTACCGGTAGAAGTCTTATAGATAATAGTAATTTATACGCAGCCGCGTTGGAGTCCCGAGGCTAAGGGAGATCTAGACTCCCTCCCTGACCACAAGCTTCCCTGAGCACCTTAATCACTGACATGACCATACTCACTAACACACATGTACACTCCTCACATCCCACCAATCCCATTCAATACGCGCAGATCATGCTCATCTATACGGAAAACCGGGTACAGAAGCTAGCCTTGACAGGAGCTGACACCTCAAATTATCCGGGGATGTCAGGGGTTTGATAAGAAGTGGAACCCTAACCCTGTGTGGGTTGAACTGGTTAACTGGTTGAAAATATCATTTCTACTGGGTAACGAGTGATGAGGCATGAAGAATACATCTCACAAGTACCTCTCACTCTATGTGGATCACTTTCACTTTTTTAAATCTATTAATTACTGTGGAAAAAGATATATGAAATGGCTTTCTAAAGAATATGGCTCTCCGGAACGGCCTCTAAACATAGGGACTTAATTATATTATAGGCCGATGAGACTGAGCCAATAGAAATGTACATACATACACGTATGTGTTCGGCTGCATATGCGCGCAGATAACTACAACTTCGAGATATGTATTGTAGGCGTAGATAAGGATGTACTCAAGGTTGGGGGCCTAGTGCCGAGCACGGAGTACATCGCATGCGGTCTGCAAGACGTGATGACGATATCGAGTGCTCCATTAGATAATACCCCATACTTTAGGGATATATGAACTCCATGTGGGGTGCAGATACCTACCGGCATTTTAGGAGGTATAATGCGCCACAGTTCCGTAGGTGTGTGTGCTTGAATTAATGCATTGAATCCACCCCAACTATGGGCGTCCCACATGTATGCATGTCAACCACACGTCGTTTCCGCCACAAACGTATGTACTGTCCAATGATAGCCCACTTGCTGCGGTAAACCGAGTCTGGTAATGTATGCTTGAAGACACCGTGGCTAATTACCTCCGGTATATCTCTCTAAACACTTCAACCTATACAGGTCATGTTATTTTTTGTGTCTTGCACAGCCATTATCCCGCGCTTGCTTTGTGTTTGATGAGCGCCACTTTCAGTGTTTCATAGTAGGACTGACCTAGATAATAGTCTTCTAGAACTTGATATAAGCCTCATGGGCCCATGTCATCTTATTCCCCGAGCGGTTGAGATAAGAGCACCATGTTCATGCGGAATATGCGTTCATTTATGTAGGCCTTGCCTCTAACTCTAGCGGCCGGCCGGCGCGGTCCTCCTTCAAAAATAACATCTGATACAATCCTTCTTTACCCCGGTGATGCTATCATCAAATGGGCTTTCTTGAGGGACAGATTTAAGTGATTTTACGTTTTGAGATATGTCAAATGTGTTAAATTGAGTCACTGATATAAGGCAATGTAAGACAAAGTGTTCTTCGGATCGAAATTCTGATAATGCCTTCGTTCCTTCATTTTCCAAGCTCGATCCCCAGATTATGTATGATAAACGAAGACAGGCCTTTCCTAAAGCCGCAGTGCAATTCCCGCATGTGATCTGTGATCTAGCTAGAGCCTTGTGATTGTATTACATTTCATCATATTTACTAATTCTTCTTATTTCCAAAGCCTAGCTGGCGGACATAGTGCCGGTGAAGAATAGAGATCGAGTGAAAGCTTGGATCTCTGGTCAGGCGACTCAAGATTCTTGTGATATGATAACTAAGCCTTTGCTTGTAATTCAGCCTTCTCTTGTGAGGGTTATCGTGCTACTTCTTAGATATATAGCTAGCCCCTATATATATCCGATAAGGGATCGATCGAAGTCTTGACACCATCTCTCAAACACTACCTAAATTCAATATGCCAATGCCAAAGTTTACGACTGCAAGCGGGCCTGGAAGGACAAAAAGAATAAACTGGTCGCCTCACGTCCAACACCTCATCAGAAAGTTCTATCTTGACGAAGGGGTCACGCTGGATAAGCTTCCCCAACGCATGTGGGAGCATGGCTTCCGTGCAAGGTATGTCTCAAAGGAACTCTTGATCGACACATGAGTACCACGTTATATACTGGGTATATTGGATCTAATAACTCTTTCTTGTCTAGTCGGAGGTCGTATTGTAGTAAACTGCGGGAGTGGGGCTGGAGAAGGAAGAAGAAAGGTAAAATCTCGGACTCCAGTACTCGTATTGCTCCTACTGCAGGTTCCGCGTCAGCTGTGTTGGGTTTTGGGCCGTTTAGTAAATACTCAGGTACAACAAGAGCTGTGTGCTGGTTGCTCATACAGTTATTCATTCCACATATATGCTTACATTTTTGATTTTGTACAGAATCATCGATAATCGTCCAGAGCCCCTCGCCGGAACCGATAATCGAAGAGAAGGATCCCATGGAGGATCTTGGTAGGGTACTCATTCTAACGATGCAATTATTTATATTATGAAGGTAGCTAACAGTCAAGAATAGGCGCTACAGTCGCTTGATACCATCAATAACTTTGAATCAGAGACTCGGGAAGAGACGCCCCAGGCTGATATCGTAATGGCAGACTCATGCCATTCCATCGAATATTCGTCTGGTCTGACTTGCGCTGTATGCTTCGGGTCTGCAATGTCACTTGCGATTGCGGTTAGGGAAAGCGACTCGGAGTGGGCGAATAGTCAAATGTCTAATGGCATCTTCTAAGTGTTAACCCAGGTCTCATGGGCCTTTTGCTATATATACATGTATCTCTGGTCGTGGATATCACATTTCTTCATTTCGTGTATGTACCACCAGATTGTCCGACATTTTTAAACTTTCTTTTTTGCGGTTTAAAGTTATCGCTGGATGGGGGGTGGCTATTGTCTGTATTCGTATACATATCTATCTGCATTTTCATTCTCCGCTCTGATCGATTTCTAGATACCACCCAAATATCATATTTACGAGATGCGCCAATGTCTTATAAGTGAAGCTATTATATAATTATAGACCAGCTGACGACTTCGTTATAATTCCTACGGGCGGATCCGGCCCTTGACATAGACAAATAAGAACAGTACTTTATACTCACCTTCGAAAAAGTATAAGATCTTAAGAGCGTACCCAAACACCTTTCCCTGTGGGCACATGAAATCAAGGTTATTATAGGGTTAGGGTTTGGTAGGATATCGTACCAACTTAAGTAATCTACGTGTACTTACTAAGTCAGGGAGCGATAACAGACGCCGGGGCAAGGCTGGAAGATAAAGCGATATATGTATGCGTGTATTTTTTCTTTATGTATGTCTTTCTTTTATTTCTTTATTTTGTAACCGATTCAGAGTGGTTCATGACTCTCGGAGCACATTCCAGCCAACAAATCATGTATTTCGCACAATATGTATGGCATGTAGTGCATGAACAACAGTCCATTGTGTACATGTGCGCACAACATATGAAAGCGGTAAAATCGTGACTACCGGATTGAAACCCGGATAACAAATACACTTGTATGTAATATGTGTACTTTAAAATGATATTTTATATAATATCTGTTAAGGAGACGTGATGTAATTTGCTGCTAGCTCAGCCAGCCGAGAATAAATGCAGATTTGAGGGTCAAACTCCACCCCCCCGTGCCGTTCATACTAGTAGAGATTCCGACACCTTGAAATGTGCCGGCGAGTTATATTCCTACCGCCCCTTACTTCCAGGTATATGTTTAACGTGTGGCCAGTAATTATTAACAAAGCTCATAAATGGCAGTGCGATGCATGCATCGTTCTAGACTGGCACGGCAATTGTACACTTTGATCTGATCTTTCAACTGTAAATTTATCATTGGCCATAGCTTTGTTAAGCTGTATCAGCAAAATGGACAAGGCTGAGAGAAAGAGTGCGGTGAGATTAGCAATACCTGATACAAGTATTTGAGCCGCACAGTCTCCCATCTTACCAATTGCGATATTCACTCATGTCATGTGATTGCTTTGCAAAAAATATTTGATTGGCTGTATCAACGTCGCCGTACGTCTCTAACATACCCAAATGTGGAGAACTATCCCCTTGTAAAGACCCCCGGCAGATTATATGCGACGCAATAGGTATAAGGACGACAAATCGCCTCCTACTTCCTAAAACCCTCGGTAGCCTTACTAAATAAATATCTCGTCTATTCCAATTGAATGCGCCTCGAAGCATTATGAAATAGGAACCAAAGGTCTAGAACATTGATCGAGTGATAGGTCATGATTGAGAGACAGTTATCCCGCCCTTATGAATCAGAGCCCTCCAATGACGTTAGCAAAGTACTTTTAATATAGGCATCGACTATCAGGTCTTCTCTCATAAGAACCTGAAATATAACACTGGGATGACGATAATAACCTACACCTTCTCAATTAATAGCCTGCTTAGCAAAAACTTACAATATCTATATTGCAACTCTATTAGTGATGAGTGATAGTTAAACGACAAGTGTCTGGATAGAGTTTCGGGCTACTAGCACAGACATAAGCGCTGAGACTTTGTTTGTGACATGTTAATGAAGGCAGGTTATCCACGAATGTTCGCCATGTAAGGCGCATCTATCCATGAAAGACTTTTACACCTCAGTGTCTAGAGCCCAAAAGAAGATTTGCGAAGAATCATCCGTTATATTCTTTGAATCTTCTAGCTAGCCGAATTACACTTAGAGGCAATCTATATGGTGTGGCAATTAATATTACGGTATGAAAGGCGCTGCTATTGTGCACTATTATGTGGTTGGTTTCTTTACTATTACAATTCAGACTAACCCCTTGAGGCTATTTTTTCTACCTAAACCTTAGGCATTTACTTGGCTGCATGACTTCTAGGACTTTCTCTCCCACTCCCAAACTGGGAAAAGGATATACCACGCCTGTCGGGGTACGTCTGCTGATAGTGAGAACTGTTGCAATGACGGCGTCTGTCAATAGACTCGCCCCGATAGGCGTAGCGCTGGACCTTCTTTTCCAGATTTATTAGATCTCCTATACCGAGCTCAGACTTGAATATTTGTGCAATCTAGAATCATAAGTTTTATATTCATTAATCATGAGAGCTCCAGAAAAACCATATTCCAATATGTCGTACCTTAAGTAGTCAAGTCTAGCCAATGATGACTTTTTCCGTGGGGCTAAATTCTATGGTTTTTATCACTGAGGACGGCTAGCTTTACGTGTATGCAATCCGGTTTTGAGAACTGCCTGGTTACTATCCCATAGTAGGATGAAAGTTGTCAAACTTGCGACCTGGACCGTGCACCACTTAATAAGGGAATTGTCTTGCTTTTTAACTGGAACCTGCAGTTTTTGAAACCGTTAGGCCTTGGCGCCAAGGCATCGTTACGAGTGATCGACTATGAAACGCTCACCGGTCATCGTGCCATGGTATTCCGTGTGCGGGAATCTAGGATAACCCGGTACAAGGCGTCCACACGATAAGGGTTGGACCGTGCTAAAATATCCCTGATTCTGAAGATCTGATAAGATTAAAAGGTAGATGGACATCCAATCAAGATCCTAGCCACCTCAGAGCCTTATTTTTCGAATACGAGTCATACATACGTCTGCTGACGTTTCAGGATCTACCGGGCTCGGTTAAGAGAATGATACTCGCGACACCGGAAATGCAGCTCTAATTCATCTGAGTAGATTGCGTTTCGGGTACTTACACACAGGTAAATAGAGTAGATAGGTACTTGATACCTGCTCATGTGCTGCGAGTTCATACATCATTACTTTAAACGTCCCACAACCAGCAAAAGAAGATTGGTTACATACATCTATTTATTTCCCTTGATCCCAAATGTCGGCAAGCGAATGAAAGCAGAGCACTGGTGTAGGTACATCTAGTTCACTGGTAGAGTAAGATATTGGGTACGGAAGTAGGTACTCTAGAGGTCTATCCCAACGACTAAGCACATTGCCAGTGTCTCTCCACATCACCCATCCACGCCAGTTTATGCACTGGACGTATTCAACCTCCAAGACACCCAATAACATCGATCGATCGAGAAGCAATTGTGATATAACATTCGATGCCTTTTTTAGCTCAATGCTCATCCTAGCAACACCTTAGTACTGGAGAGTAGGAATTGAAGCACAGGACTTGTACGTAAGTACCTTGTTTCTGTAGATCTACACGTCGCGTATGTACTCTACGGATAGACCCAAGCTTATCATCCGTGCATCAAATGACAGTACAAATGACATAGAGTACATCCGCAATTGGTGTGTTTATGATTTCTAAAGTACTTGTTAGAGTCCTTGAAACTGACCTGCGCGGCAGCCTGAAGGTCACTCGACAGCGAGCGATCAATGCAGTAGGGGCCAGGGGTAGTTTCAATGATATGTGACTCAACCGAGAGGAGTGGCCTGTGCGTGTGAGAGGAGGTTATTTATTCATATGGGTGGGGAGGGGTATTCTTTATATAGCCTCGTTAATCTGTTCCTCTCCTCCTCATCTCCTTTCATATCTCCATTCGTTACCTTCCAACCTCTCGATTCTTATCTTTCTTCGCTTCACCTACACCAGCTCTTTAACTACCGTCACCATAGATCTACTCATGAGCATGATGGCACCGGTGTCCACCGGCCGAAAGCCTCATGGACCCTGCCAAACAGTCTCCTCTATCATTGCCCCTCAATTCGTCCCCGATGACCAGCCTCCACAGCCCTCTCCATTGACCCCAACCGGCGGGAAGCCCAGCGATGACTTCCTCTTCGTATCAAAGGACTTCCCGTATCACCCTCGTTCCCCCGTAAGCACGTTCCTCCAGCACCATTCGGGCCTTGCCACAGACTGTGACATGGTCCTCCGTGAGACGATCAAGAAGCACCATCCCCACCTCGCCATGACAGTATGCACCGACCGCAACTGCGACATCCTCACCTATGCTGCCCTCGGAAAAGTAGACTTGAAACCCAAGGATATCCCCTTCCTGACACAGTCGGTTTTCACTCCCTCTGAGCATCGCTCGGATGGACCTGGGGCTATGCAGGTCAGCTTGGACTTTGGCTGCTTCGATGTGTGCACAAAGTCCGGGCACAAGTTCATACATTATTATGCGTCTTACACAGACTCGTACCAATTGAAGGCTGCAAATTACTTCCTGCACGACCAGGATTCTAAAGCTGCAGTGCAGGAATTGATTTTTGAGGCCTGTAGCTGGGCGGTGGAGCTGCACGATGAGATATTGATCTTCGAGAGTTTCTGGATGAAGGATCATAAGCTCTGGCAGGCAATTCAGAAGGCAAAGTGGAAAGATGTCATTTTGGACGAGAAGATGAAGAAGGAAATTATCAATGATGTTGGTAGCTTCTTTGCCGGGCGAGACACATATGAAAATCTCGGCGTACCGTGGAAGGTTCGTATTGTAACATCGCGTCCATGATTTTGCGCAAGTAAGTTAATTGGACGGAATAGCGTGGATTGATCTTTCATGGACCTCCCGGAAACGGGAAAACCATCTCCATCAAGGCATTGATGAAGAATCTGGAGCATCCCTCGCTTTATGTCAAATCATTCCACACCTACAATAGTGACGAGACCGGTATCCAGATGATATTCGAAAAGGCAAGGGCAATGGCTCCATGCTTGCTGATCCTGGAGGATATTGACAGCTTGATCACGAATGATAATCGATCTTACTTTCTGAATGAGGTTGACGGGCTGGAAGAGAATGATGGGATATTGGTCCTCGCGACTACCAATCACTGTAAGGACATGTGTTTTGAGATTTTGGGTTATGAACAGTGCTGATGTGATGTTATTGTAGTGGATCTCTTGGACCCGGGTATTGTAAGTCGCCCTTCACGATTCGACAGAAAATACTTCTTTCCACTCCCATCAATGGACGAGAGGAGGGGGTACTGCAAATACTGGAAGTAAGTGATAGTCCTAAAAGATACTCGCTCTCTCGATACACAAACTAAAAAATTTCACAGGCACAAATTGGAAGGAAACGACAAAATTGACTTCCCAGATAGTCTAGTAGATAAGATTGCCGAGTGGACAGAAGACTTCAGTTTTGCATACTTGAAGGAAGCATTCGTTAGTTCGTTGCTGGTGATTGCGGCCCGGGAAGGTCATGGTGGGGAAGATGGAGATGAAGGAGATGAGGAGTCGTTTGAAACAATCATCAAAAGACAGATCGAAACGCTTAAGAAAGAGATGGGAGATGGCAGTGAGCAACTAATCAATGCAGTATCGTCTCAGATCAATCCTCCTCTAGATTCTAACCCACCACACACGCCCTCCTCCCACAAATGAGCTTGATCTCATAAAGTATGAATTGACCTTGATGGAAATGTTTTGGTTTTCTTACTTCTTAAAAATTCATGTGGTTCAAGAAGTAATACAATAGAGGCTTATCTGTTGTGGCCACTCGTTAATAGAACCAATTTGACAAAGGCCTGTTGCTCTCATACAAATGAAATACTTCCGGGTGCATTTTATCTCATACTATTGCATATGTGTAGTTTGTATCCCAACTTTCGTATTGTGGTCATAGGCCCAGTCCGAGTGACAGCATGTGAATGTGTCTTGGTTACCGGGTTCCATTCCAGGCTTGACTATAGATCAAGAACTATTAAGTCCAAGCCTTGATCGGGAGTGAAAGCGAATTTATACATTATTTACAGCTACATACAGAGCATTCCTCAAATTTGATCGATGTGGAAAGATCCGTGTAAAATAGGAGTCTCCACAGCCGCAAGACACTTTGTAATATTAAGGCCGTTGACTTCTATTATCTGTTTTCTGGCCGAATTGGCCACCATGGCATGGCAGAGCCCAGTGTGACTTGTACTGATAACATCTAGGCGGCGTGTAAACTTTACTTGAGTCAAATTAAGCATTAATATCGGAGGAAATATATTATACCGGGGTCTCGATAGTAGAATATTTGATAGTAGGATACCCTCGTCACAAACGTGGATTGTTCGGTATGCAGGGGTGTTAATTGTTTACCGATTACGGATAAGCACCTGAAACTTATGTGACCCATGATATTAACTAGGTATAGCTTGTTAGAATCTCACAGAACGTCACTCGTTCTAATTCTACTCACAAGTAGATCTAGAAGCTACACGACTTTCAGAGATCTCTAAATAGCCTGATTAGAACTCTCACTGCACTCGTGCATCAACCTCGACTCACCCAATGCCTCTACGAATCAGAGCACTCCAGCGCAGACGAACTGGGGTAGCTAGCTCGGTTGCCCCAGCAGCCAAATGTCTCACCCCTGTGATGATAACCCATCAAGCCCTCACCTCCTGCAATATCACCCATCCCTTCCCATTCACAGGTAGGCGTACAAGGCAGGCGGGCAGTAAAACAAGATGACCGACCCACTATCCCTCGAGTCCTCACTCTCCAGTCTCATCACTGTCGGCACCCGAATCTCGCACCAACTCACCGAGTTCCTCACTACCTCTACCCCCGACTCCCCCAACGAAATCGCTGCGCTCTTGCACGAGCTATCCGAACTCTGCAGCATTCTACTGCAGCTTAAAGCTGCACATACCCGAAGCAATGCCGAGCTTGGTGGTGTTGAGTTTCGAAACGTGTTGGCGAGCTGTATGGACAAGTTCGTGCAGCTGCGGATGCTGGTGAATGCGTACGGTGTGGGTAAGAGCGATGAGACGTGGTGTAAAAAGTGGAGGTGCTGGAACAGGATATTTGAGGGCGAGGAAGTCGTAGCGTTGAGAGTGCAGCTGGAGGCACACAAGATTACATTGAAAGTTTCATTAGTTCTGACCAATGAGTGAGTTTGTTTCGCCCTTTGGTGGAGGAGGTGGAGCTGATTTGGTCGGGTAGCATTGAACCTGCGGCAATAAAGGATACTACGAATATGATTGAGACCACAGCAAAGGAGATTGAACAACGACTTGCAGAAGAGATATGTGAGGCCACAGCGGCATCGGCGAAGTACCAAGATAGCTCTATCCTGCAGAGGTATCTCACTAGTGCTTCTTCGGATGTATCCTCACGGACAACTTCTCCTGCAGTGGAACCGGATTCGGTGGACCAACAATTGCTTATTCCGAGTATACCAATATCCAATGGCACAAGTGAAGTAAAAAGGAGTGCTAGGAAACAGTTAGCTACTGTAACTTCAGCCCCTCTACCACGGTCTCAACCATCTTATATCTCAAGCTCGCCGATGAAGACCTCCCCACGGGTAAAGTCCGCATCACCCTTAAAGACCTCTTCGGCCATGGGACCACCTCCATCGCGGGGAACAAGGCCACCACCACCACCAAGACACAAGACAGACCCTACAGCATCAATGCGGCCACTCCATGCCCGTACCCATTCTCTCCCCACAAATAAAACGTCTACCCTCCTCCCTCGTCCCTCTCCACCATCAACACCCCGCTCATTTCCTAGCAGGAAGCTCACCTATAGCACCACTTCACACTCACACTCACACTCCCGAACGAATTCGTTACCAACCAATAAAACTACCCTTGCATTGGGAACTGGGAGCTCTGATACGTTCACCGCCGAACTAACACGCATCTATAACGAACCATCGACACGACAATGGTGTACCACGGCAATTTCACCATCCCGTCTGAATGCCAATCATACCCTTGGCTCAACACTCACCACCTTACACACAACCACCCTGGGCTCCTCCCGCGATATGGCGAAAACGAAAGCAACGTTCCACCAGAAGGAGACATTTGCAAAAGTCAAATCAATGAACACGACATTTGAGTCTGCCTTCTCAGCTGTGTTCGCAAAAATGTGGAGCAAGCTTGAAGAGGGCGTCACAAGGCTAACCAATATGTACCATTACTTTGAACTCGTTGGAGGTGGCGAAGTGGGGGGCGAGTGTGCTGTGGGTGTGTGGGTATGGGTCCTCGAGAGATTGCTGAGGGGCCTACTATCTCTGCGAGTAGAGATCGAGAGACGTCACGAGGTCGTGCAGATGGTACTTGCAGAGCGGGATAGGGTGTTAGAGAGGGCTGTGAGGGGTGTTATGGAGAAGATGGTGGATGGCGGAATTATTGGTGCAAAGGCGGGTACGGACATGAAAGCCGCAGCAAAGCAGTTCGAGACGACGTTTGTTCTCCACCACTCATAACCTGTGCCCTGCTAACGTCAAATAAAATAGTCTTGAGAAGACGCAGTCTCCTATCACAAAGACCTGCCAAAATATCCTGGCAGGTCTCACCAGTAGCTTGCACCACGTCGAGAAGATCATCGATGCGACAAAAGACATCATCCCCGCTTTCGGGATCGTATCGAAATCTGGAACCTTGGCGCGAAGTGCGGGTTCGGTCCTGGACGTGGAGATGGTAAGAGTCGCGGCCGCACGGTTAGAAGTTGGGTTGGAGAGGGTTCGGGGAGTGTTAGAGATTGGCACTAGTGTTGTAAGCAGAGGAGTAGGCGTATTGGGAAAGGGGGAAGGGGAGACGATCTAGAAGAGCGGAAGGAGCTCATGTTTATTAGTATAAGTTATAATAGTAGGTTAATTTGTTGCTTATTAAATTGGAGTAGAATAGGATATATATAGATAATAAATAAAGACTGGATTTGGGCAAACTATTGTTATAGAGGCTGTTTATTGGTACATACGTTGTTCTGGTATAGATAAGTTATGAGCCTATATAGAAGCTTGGGGTGTGAGTGACTACACTCACGAAAGATGTAGGTTGATTGATTGATTCGTTTAATTAGTGAAACGTTCACTTAGGTTTTCCTAGGACAGATAGGAGTCATCAAAGTTGTATCGACAGAATTTTTGATGAAGATATTCGATGGTAGTATCTAAGGTCCGTAAGCCCAATTGATGCAGTTGAGTAGCCTGATAAATTGTTCTAAGTACATCGACGTAGTGAGGCACTAGATATCCTGAAGTACAATTATAGCCAAGGGCTCGTGGATGAGGCCTCCCCATTTGTCCGTATCATTCCAGAATAATTTCCAAGCGGAGGCAGTTCAGTGACTGATCTTTCATGCCAAACTGCATGATAAAGAGATACTTAGAGGTCTTGCTTATGTGTATACATCATGTAGTGTACGTACATGTATGCGCCATGCGCATCCCGCGGTAATTAAAGCTATTAGTGGTTCTTGAGACCGTTTGCCACACAGGGTAACTCTTACTCAGCCAGATTTAAACATTTGTGGGCTCCGGCCTAGCTACATATGGCGCGAGAAGGCATAGGGGGTGGGTGTGTCAACTTCAGAGGAACCTTTTTTGTATGGGAATTAGAGAAAATTCCACCGTTAGGCTAGGCGCTAGTACCATTATGGGAGTAGATCTCCCAATTTCTATAGGTTGATTGGCTATAAACGCCGAAGTTTACACACCTACCCACCATAGCTTCTCGAGTAATCCTAATGGCCCAAAAACATAAGTAGCTATCTTCCTCGGCCTCTTCATCCCACTCCCATTTCTTTAATTCCGTCCATCCACAAAAACATCAACATAAATACATATTCATCAAACATTAATTATAATGAGAATACTAGCTATAGTCTTCCAAAATATTTCAAGTCTTACACAAGATACCCAGCGGTATTATGAGATGAGTTCCAATCTTTTCTTCACTTCTTACTACATTTAAGCTACCGAAGAGTAAGTGTAGAGCTAGAGTTGGCGGTGATTTACATCGTCTATTCATGGTATCGTGCGCAATGGCGTCTGTGCAGGGGATGCTTTCCTTGCGATCGGGATCTAACCTAAATATTACATGTATCATCGATATTCGGATCCTCCGGCTGTATAGTCAAATAATCTACACGCATCATAAACTCCATAAAACATAAGTTACTCCTTCATATCCATTAAGAAACTACATAATAAGAAATCTAATTTATGATATCATATAAACAAAAGAAAATGGAATAAAAATAAATAGGAAAGCCACACATCTTCCGAAAGAAAATCGCACTGAACCCGTCGCCATCTACAACTTCACATCACCCCGCCATCTCTCCTATCAATCGTTACCTTAACCTCTATTCTCAATGTCCCTCACCTTCTCATGGATGCTCGGCGAATACGCGTATTTGGCCCCCCTCCTAATCGCTGCACCCTTGTAATAGAATAAATACGGGATTGCACAACAAGCCAATGCGATGAACGCCAGCAGTGATGATGCCCACTGATCACCCAGGCGATGATACATCTGCGTCGTAAATAAGACCGTCGCAGCACCCCAGAACGACCTGAGGAATGTCTTTGCCGCAAGAGCAGATGCAGCCTGGTGTTGATATGAGTCGACTAGTCGTTATAAGTCAGTAAATCGAAAGTACAGTTGAGATAGCGGAAAGGGATACTACTCACCAAGATAGTTGTTGGCCGAATTATACAAAAAGATAAACCCAAACCCAATAGGAAATCCACCCAACGCCGGCCCAACCCATGACAAGCGGGGATAGCTTGTCCACGCAAAAATAAACAACCCCACCGGAATACACCAGCAACTGTACATCATCGGAATCAACCTCACTTCCGGCGGCGGGTTCCCACCAAACTTCTCCGCACGTTTCAAATAGCTCTTATTGACCCAGGGCGCACAGCATGCCGACGCCACTACACCGATGGCAAGGGGGATGAACATCAACCCCGTAATACCAGCACTGTAACCTTTCCCCTCTTGGTACACGATTGGAAAGGCGACGAAGAACATGTACAGCAGCCCGTAAAGAACGCTCATATACACAGAAATCAAGAAGACAATGAGTTCGCCGAAGAGTAGTTGGAAGGGACGGACTAAGAAGAGTGTGAGAATCTCGAGAAAGCTGCGAGTGTCGAGTTCTTGTTCTGTAACGAAGCTGGGGTCGCCGGTAGTGGCGCGGGTCTTACGGGCGCGGGCAAGAAGGAGGGCGGGTGCGTAGGTTTCTGGGACCGTAAAGACCATGAGTAGGTAGATAACAGCAGAAAGTATCAATTGGATCCAGTAAAGCCAACGCCAGCCGCCGCGTTCAGATAGAAATCCACCAACGAGGGGACCTGTAGAAAAATGGTCAGTATTGGTCGTCCAACTAGGCGTTTATGAAGAAACAACATACCAATGGCAGGCCCTAAGAACGGCGCAGCACTAAACGCCGCCATTGGAATTCCTCTCTCCTCCGTCCTCCACAAGTCCGCCAAACTTCCACCCACAAGGGTCATTGGCGCACTGAAAGCAATCCCATCAATTATTCTTGCGACCAGTAGCGTCTCAATATTCTTTGCTACGGCTCCGGGGATAATAAACAGTACCGCAACACCCAAAGTCGTCGTATAGATAATCTTCCTCCCCAGCACCTCACTGAGGGGTGCAAACACCATTGGCCCGATTCCAAAGCCGACAACAAACAATGTGATGCTCAGCAGGGCAACCTCTTCACTAGCATTCAAGTCTTCCATGACGCCGTGGATGTCGGCAGTGACAACGCTGGATGCAAATGCCACCATAAAGCAAACTAACGCGATGATCATCGTGCAGTACCATTTAAAGGCTTTGCTCCAGTTCTTAGGGTTCTCGGGGTCGTCAATGGTGAAAGTGACAAGTTTGTGGGTTTCGAGAGTGCCCGATTTGCGGGAGAAGGTTTGCTTGAGGACGAGTCCCTCCACAGTCTCGGTGGTGTACTCGGTCATATCCGCCGTGGCGGTCAGAGTACGGTAAGGTAGCGTTAAATCAGTAGGTGGCTCGGGGGCTCTAGAACGGTGTTAATATTGTTTACATGGTTACATGGCATGAAGGGCTAGAAAGGTACGTTTTGATTGCTTCATGGTCTGAAATCGACGAAGACGTCGAGGGTAATGAGGATTCCGCCATTGTTGAGGGCGTGTTTGGTATAGGGATAACCAAGGGTTGGTGTTGAAATCAAATAAGAGATTTATGGCAAGTAGCAATACTATAGAGAATAGAGATATTTCCACGAGATATGAGGGACGAAAGCCCGATATATATACCTCACGCCATTCACTCACACAGGCAAGGAAGGAAAGAGAGCAAGAGAGAAAAGCCCGCAGCTATAGGCAGTGGCAAGCGCTCACGAGCCCCGTACGTGATCTTGAATTGGTCGTGTTCATTTGTTCCCAATGTGGCCAATAGGAGACGAGGGAGAATAGATATTCTCATCGATACATATATTCTCATTCATGGATATCTCTGGAATAAGCTTCAAATGCAGGCAGAGTCCCGGACAGGAATTTTGAATACCGAAATAGGAACAAATATCGGAACTCGGGACCGTGTGCAGAACAGTAGGCATTTACTGTGCTTCAACAAATACATATATTTTAGACTTAAGTTGCCTTAGTCTCTCCCGAGGGTCCGGCGCGGCGTGCGTTAACCTTGGCAGGGGGGCAATGCAAGTGGTCCCCACTTTGTAACTCCGAGATCTCTGGAATTCAGTGATCAGACAAGAGCGTCCCTCCTATCTGATCTGGTTGTAGCTACTGAAGAGTGAATCGTGAGCTTTAGATACCAAGCGGCCTTGGTACTGCACCATGGTGTTTGTTGTGTTCGTCTTTGCTTTTTTGCTTTTTGTTGCTATCCTCAAGCTTGAAGCTTGTTTGCGCCGAGTGGTCTTGGAAAAAGCTTGGGATGGTCGTGTAGAGGTTGTTGTACGGTGAAAGGATTTTCCGGTTGTTGATATGGTATCGGAGTCGGAGTGTGGCGGTGGGGGATCAATTGGTGGAGTCTTGGCATCCGGCTAATGGTATGTCATGAACGAACTTACTGCCACGGCTTTGGTTTTCGGCATGTCAGAATAGGAAGATATTTATATTGTTTGAGATACATACAATGCTGATAGACATGTTACACGGTGTGTAGATTCATATACTTGCATCTTAAATTATCAAAGAATGTGTAGTGCAGCTGTATATCTGTCTGGCGGACGAAAGGCATCTCGGAGATACCTACGCTGTTCGTACGAGAGGGGTTAATCTCAGTTCCTGACTGACATGGCATACACAGTTAGAGAAGATCCTGTTTTTGTTGTTGTCGTCGTGTTACTGATTCACCAAGGGCTCACGCGTTGCCAATCACACTTGCTCACTCGACCGCAATAACCATACTGGCATAGCTGCAACAAAGGTACAGTTAGCCAGTCAGCTCGAGGGATACCTCTAGCCTCTAAAGAAATAGGATCTGGTTGATCGAACTGTCTCGACATCCCCATTCCGCAAAAACATATCCCCTCTAAAAGTGCGTAAAGGTCCAGACGTCCCCGGACCGCGGTTCAAGCGATTTAGGTGTTTACTCATCAAGATTAAAGTATCGACAATGCATCTACGCGAGCAGGTGACATTTACATGCATATTTGGCTCGAGATAGCGTGCACCAGTGGCACGGGTGCGAATGTGGTTTTGCTGTTTCATCGGCGTTGTGGTCCTTATCCCGGCCCCACTTGGCAACTCCGAGAGCGCGCTGCGCAAATGAGCATCACCCGAATTTGCAGCAAATGTTTTCTAGTGCTGTTGCGTTTTGAGAGCAAAAAAAATCATGATAACCACGATACTACACGGGACTAAAAGAAAGAGAAGTATGTAGTTACCCACAGATCTACATGTAGCTAGTCGACAGCTAACCCGGTTCTACAAACTGCATCTGGGACCTGGATGCCTATATTCTCCGAGCCTCAGGAGACATCACTCGATCTCATCTCATCTGCTATTGGCCAAGTCTGGCTGCTCTTTCCGGTTCTGCCCCTTTCTTTGCATATTTAGAAGTTCCACCACGTGGGCGCAGGGTGTTCCAGAAGAAAAAGTAACATCATACATTTTGTTGCGGTACTTATCACCAGATAGAGGCATTTTCGCAACCCTAATCCTGGTGCGTGAAAAAAATCGGTTTCTGGTTTTTGCCCGTGTTTGGAATGATATGAGCCGAAGAGTCAGTGCGCCTCTGAAAATTATTTGTCTATCACACACGGGATAACTTTATTGGCTCAAACTGAATGCATGGCCCGCTTCACTTTTCTTAGCGCGAACGTCACTTTGATCTTTTTTGCTGAGTTGTAGGAATCAACGTTTGACTCAGTATATTTGTCCAGTTAGAATTAAAGAGATAATGGTGAATAGATGTGATGCTAAAAGAATCCGGCCGCTAAGGAGTGGCGATCTAATGGATTGAGGACAAAAGCTGGGCGGAAAGACATCTATCAATCTATTGCAATTGGAGCCCAACGCCCTCTTTACTCTCTGGGAAATTATTGAGCTGAAACACCCGGGTCATAGTAGTAGACGCGCATCTAGTACTGACGGGTAAGATTTGTATCAGGGGCGCGGCTTATCAGATGCTAGTAGTTTTGGGCTCGAACGTTTTACTAGAGGCTACATGTACTGTCTCTCCGAGTCAAGGCATGCAGCGTAAGCGAAGAAATTTAATTACATCATGATACATATGAATAAATGTACCGACGGCTCAGAATTAAAAAAACAAACATTATTGGAATCTATTACCGTTGAGACTGCGTCATATGCTATCACTCGGTCATGAACTGCGGGCGGTAACTTGATCACGAGCGAAGTGGAAGGGTCTTCTCTGGTGGTACAATTAGATAATTCTAGCGCCCGGAATATCCCTCTCGTCATAGAGAGAATCGCCTTGGTTGTATACGTGTTCTCTACACTATATGTAGTTAAGTACATGTGGTCATAATATAATGCAAATAAATATGTAGCGTGGCCATTTATAATAATAATTAATAATTTCTCATACTCGCATGCAACCTTACAGTTATGGCGACGTTAATTCAAGGGATTATCGCTGTCCTCATTTGAGCAAGTGACTGGGGAAAACTTCCAAAACCCAGCACGACCGGCAAGATGGGTATACCGGGGGTGCGGGACACGGAATTCGAGCCCGTAACCTCTCGCTTTACAGCAAGAGGTAACCAGACAGCCATACCCTTTACTGTGGCCATTTTCACTCTTATAAAAGTCATTCATCTCCCCACAGCTCTTTTTATCGCAACTTCAACTATCGAATCGAGTCTCTTCTGCTTAATATATTAATGGTATGTTATTGGTGCCTCTATTTCTTTATTTCTGGTCATTTTCGTGTTTGCTTTCGACTGACTGTCTTATCGGCGGGCTTGCATGATTCTCGAGAATACTAGCGGCCTCTAGCCAGAAACATTATGAAGCTTTATCAGTGAGTGGCACCCTTTCGGGAGCGCATCTATCTACGGGTTTTTAGTGTCACAGTATATTGGTAATTTTGGGCAGTATTGTCGCTCACGTTGTTGACGGATAGGTTGGTATGTCACGGAAGATTGGGATTCGATTGTCCTCTTTTTGGTGCCAATCACCTTCATGTGTGTTAATGCTTAGGCTAACTATGCTCTTTCGCTACATTGGGTTTCTCCTAGTAAGCTCAGGAGGTCTATCTATATATAGCTACTAGGCTATACTCTCGCGAACGAACGTTTCATCACTTCTGGATCGCAGACATTGATTCTTTCACCATTCAACAAAATAGCCTCTTCCAAATATCAATATTTATTCATTCAACTAGCTAATTTCTGCATTATGAAAATAGAAAAATCGCATTTCTTTACCCTCTCGCATACAGCCAGAGAAGCAATGAAAAGCACAACATTCGCATCACCTGGAAACAGTGTAATACCAGGGACACAGCGGGGACCAAAGGATATGCGAGCAAAGAGCCTTTGGCCCCCTGTAGGCCAAAAACGAGTTTAAAGGTTTGAAAACCATGTTCCGTAGAACAGGTTTCAGCTTTTAAACTGAAAAGAACAGATACTACACTTGATCTAAGCCATTGGCAAAGAGAGCTGGTTTTTCATAAAAGGGCGCGGGATCGTGGAGGATTATATAGGGGACAGAGAGGGCGCCAAGGATGAATCGACATGGGGGGGGGTTGACTCATGGATTGCCAAGGGTCAAGGCCAATAGAGATATATAGGGTTAGTGATCAAATTCGCCGCTCACCGTGTATTGGCTGGAGATGTGACTCAAGGAGCAAGAGGCACTGCAAGTAAGCGCTTGAGTCACTTCAGAGCTCATCGATCACCTCTACTAAATCAGGTGTCTTCGATATTGCCTTCCGCTTTGCTTCGTTTAGCGGAATGCCTTTGATTTAGTAGGTTTACTCCTTCTCATATACAGGTTAACTAATGTTACGTTCAAGAGACTAATTTACTATGTACTAGTAATATCTACACTATTTCTTGAAAACTATCTCTGGGAAAAACGAAACACCAGGGAACACTCGCGGGAAAAAGGGTGTAGAAGCATGATTTCTTTGGTTTTTTTCGTAGACTTGGCAAGGATGAGGTTGGTAGCTGAGATCTGGTCCGGCTAGTGCGTACTAAAATGGCAGACCCTTCATATATATTGAAGCCGATACTCAACCCTTCGAGATAAGTACCAGGTATGCGGGGGTTTGGTATAGACGAAATGGTCTTGGCAAGTGACTCAGATGTTTCTGGTGACTGATCGGCATTGGAAATTTTGAGTCAGACGTCTCTAGGTTTATCTTGCACTGTGATCCAAGAGTTTCTGTGGGGACTGCACTAACAAAGTTAACAGATCGATAAGACCAAATTTGCAACATTAAATTCAAAACATTTACAAGGAATGTCGAAAACAAAGACATATATTAAGGTGCGTGATACTAACTGAACTGGGTTATTTGTGTTGGGTCTTTTTTTAATTCCAGGTGATACGTAACGCTTATACAAAGAAACTTATCAAAGCTAATATTTATCCTAGAAGGTCAACTTGAGGATACCGAGTGAGATCTCATGATCCAGCGTTAATGATCTTTCCTCTGTTTTCAAGGTCCTCTAGACTACTACTCGCTACAAAGCCTCGGCGACTCGGAAAATCCTCCAAGTGGATGTAAACCATTTTAGGGAGCGATGCCACTGAGTTTAGTCGCGGGGCCGAAGCGTCGCGAACGGGCGGGACGGATTAGGGGACAGCCCTTGTTTCAACGCCCGACTTAGCCCTTTCTCAAGAAGGCATACGCTACGTACTTTTCTTATGATATGGCATTTGATAGTCATCTGTGTAATGGTTTTCCGCTTGGATAAGCTTTTGAGTCTAATCTTTTCAAAACCAACGTAATACCAGCGCAAGTACGGATATACGGGTCATTAAGGCCTTAGATAAGAAAACTAGGCATTACAATCCAACCTGGTGCCTCACTTAACAATGCCATAGTCTATCACCCCGTAGTTGTCCGAGTAAAAGATATGCAAACGGGGGGACGGCAAGAAGCGAAGGGGCAATTCTAATTTTGGATTACACCTCTGACCCTCACCAGTTGAACAAGGGACGTCAGGAAGGGATCGAACGTATCCCAACCGGGGAGAACTCTCCGATAAGGTTGGTGGGGTTGGATTAGGGTTATCAGGGATGCATGAGGGTCGTTGACATCACTTTCGTGCATCTTGTGGGCCGACCGGGACGGCGTTGTGGAGCCGTGCTAGCAGTGCTAGCAGTGCTAGCATTCTCTCGGTTTAACGAGCAAAACGATACGATACGGCAACGACCAGCTGCAGAGACTACCGAGCCGCCGCCCCACAGCCAACTCCGATGCTATGACAGGAACTCGACGTCTCAGAAAGAAGGCCGAATTCTCGGCCTTGTGGCGGGTGAACATTTGCTGACATCAATTTCGCTGCGCTTACCGGCGGCATCGGCGCCGGCAATATTGAGGGTTCTCTACTACTTACGTCATTACTATCGTTGAGCTCGACAACAATGCTGTAACAACAGTAACAACAGACATTATTGGAGTGCCAAGACATTGTTAATGTTCAGGAACACACTGCATCTCAATGTCCTTTCGCCCTCACATATCATGACCTCAGACAACATGGTCGGTTCCAGGTGGAGAGGAGCATGTTCCCGGGAGCTTTCTCTTTTAAAAATAGATTCACCCCGAAATCATAGATGCTTTCCCCTAGAGAACATACTCATGAAGATATCGCCATGTGGAGTTCTAGATCTACCCTGATCGTTTATTCTCCGAGAGAAATCCCTTCGCTGTGCTATGATATCATTAGTTATCAGATGAGAGGGAGGAGGGAGTGGGTATGTGTCTTGTGAGTGAGATGGGAAGGAGACGAAGATACACGCAGAGAGGGAGCATACGAGCAGAAAGAATAGTTTGCTCTTCTTTGAGGTCTTGAAGGTATATAAGACATCTAATTCCTACCCATTCATCTTCCCTTCTCATCATCATCACATCTTACCATCTTACCATCAAAGCTCATCTCAACCCATCAACACTCTTCTCAATCGCTTCTTACAACCTGAATAGCATTCGAGTTTAATCACCTCTTAATACCTTCGCTCAAAGTAAGTCTTATTACCTTTATCGTGATATATATTAGGATTTAAGAATAACATTCCTATAGATGGTCTTTGTCAAACTTTCTGCACTCCCAGCGCTCCTCCTCGCTGTCTCTGCCATGGCAGCTCCGGCTCCGGCTCCTCAGGTCGACGGTAGTGCTGTTGCAAGCAGTGCAGCTGCCGCCGACGGCGCCGCTGGCAATATCGACAACGCAAACACCGGCGCAGCTGCAACTGCAAGCAGTAATTCCAATGCCGGCGCTCCCGTTGCTGCTAACCCCAATATTGGTTACTGTACCTACAGCACCGCTGGGGTCCTCCTCCCAGCTGGTGTGCCGAGCGTATCTCCCGTCACCAACCAAGTGGCGGTCCCCGCACTTCCAGCTGTCAACAAAGCCGGCGCCGTCGACCTTGACACTCTGACCAAGCGTGAGCAAAACCAGAACATCAACCAGAACATCAACAACAACCAGAACACTAATGCCGATTTCGATGGTTTCGGGGGAGGGTTCGGCGGGTTCGGCGGGTTCGGAGGGTTCTCACCTTTTGGCTTTGGCTTCTTCAAGCGCGACGAGAGCTCTGCCACAATGCAAAAGCGCGATCGCGACTTTGGTGGTGATGACGACAACGAAAACGAAAACACAAACATCAACCAGAACCTCAACAACAATGCCAACGAGAACTTTGGCTTCAATGGAGGATTCGGAAACGGCTTCGGCGGGTTTGGCGGATTTGGATTCTCCCCCTTCTTTGGAGGATTCAGGCCCGGCTTTGGATTCGGAAACGGCTTCATCAAGCGTGATCTGTTCGGTGACGGCTTCGACGGCGGCGATAACTCAAACGTCAACCTAAACACCAACACCAACACAAACACCAATACCAACGGTAACTACGGTCTTTTCGGAAACGGCTATGGCTTCGGAAATGGCTTTGGTTCCGGCAATGGCTTTGGCTTCGTACCCGGCTTCGTACCCGGCTTCGGTGGCTTCGGCGGTCTCGGCGGACTCGGGTTCGGAAACCGCTTTGGTGGTGGTTATATCCGTGCCACCGAGGATCGTGGATGCTACAGTGGCAACTGCGACGATGGCGATAACTCGAACGTCAACATCAACAACAACGCCAACACCAACTCCAACTCCGACTTCCTCGACAACGGTTTCGGCGGCTTCGGCTTCGGAAACGGCTTCGGAAACGGCTTCGGAAACGGCTTCGGAAACGGCTTCGGAAACGGCTTCTACAAGCGCGGCGAGGAGGGCGTCGAGGGCACCGAGGGCACTGAGGGCGGCGACGACGATGACGGCGGCAACGAGAACATCAACAACAACAACAACGCCAACACCAATGAGAACGCGATCGGGAACGGCTTCGGTGGCTTCGGTGGCTACGGTGGCTACGGCGGGTTCTACAAGAGGCAGTACATGGACAACACCATGTCACAGCCCAGCATGAGCGGCATCTCTGACCAGAACGCTCCCAAGAACATCAACAACGTCGGCTCCCAGGGAAAGATGAACAACAGCCAGCCAAAGAACTCGAAGTCAAACAGCGCCTCGAAGTCGAACAAGAAGAACAGCAAGAACTATGGCAACCAGCAGGGTAACCAGAGGCGCCAGGTCGTCGACTCGACCGCGGCCGCAGCCGCAGCTGATGCTGCTGCTGCCAATACCGGAGCTGTAGCTGGAGTCGTCACTCTTCCGCCTAAGCCTGGATTCGTTGTCTGCAAATACAACGTTGGCACCGACCTATACGTGCAGGTGTAAGTAATGAGCGGGGAGGAACACAGGATGTAAAAAGCTGGTTAGGGGCGCATAGATAATTTTGTTCGGTCATAAATTTTCTTTTTTTCATTCTAATTTTTCCTAACGATTTCTTTTCTCTTTTCTCTTTGGTAAAGCTTATTCCTCTGCAGTTAGGATGAGAATTGAGTGCGGGTTGGGACGAGATATGAGAAGAGAGGGAAGATGGTATTAAGATGTATATATTAACACATAGAAAAAAAAAATTCAACATTTTCTATCCAATCATTGTTCACTCGCTTTGTGATCTTGGTCGTGACCTTATTCCTTTTGCCCTTCATTATTGGTTCTGATTATCTTCTTGATTTTCTCTCACTTATCCTCATACTTCATCCTTCTTGTCAATATCCTTATCCTCCTTTTTCTTATTTATACCCTACATGATCATTGCCGACTACGCCAAAAGCTGATCTTTGATCATTGACCCTACGTTTGTTGCCAAGCCCTTCGGTAAGAACCTTCCCAATCTGGACAGCCTAATAATCGCTGACTACAGGTTTCAACTAGCCGTGAAAACAACCGTATGCCGCATGTGACTGTTGATCTGGCGAGTCAAGCCACCGACAGAGCCAACTTCCTTTCGTGCGCCGCATAAAGTCGAAATACCAGGGAGATTTCCATCTCAAGCCAAGTTCGCAAAAGGCCGTAGCTAGTGGGATGAAGTATCTACTACCGTTTTACTTACCGACGCCATACTAAGGGCATTCCAGCTAGCGCAATAAATAAACTCAACCTGGGGATAAAATCCGGGGTAAGCTCCCCTTGACCTTGCCCCTGCTTGTAAAGTATGTAGGCATCTCGGCATCACGATATACCGAGCCCTCGAAAAATAAAAAATTTGGTTTACAAATTATAAAACTCTGGATCCTCGAAGATGTATCCGACCCACCGTTGATCAACCGTCACGATGTCCCGGTTCTTTGATTCACTCGCCGTCGTCGTCCTCTTTGCGGTATTTCTAGCCCTACCTTTCACCCAGGCGTTTCCTCGCTCTGATGGCAAATCCGATCCAATTGAAAGTAGAAGTAGCCCAAAGGCCGTACTCGATTATGGGACTTTTGTTGGAGGCTATAACGCCACCTACGATATCTCGTATTTCAAATCAATTCCTTTCGCGGCGCCCCCGGTCGGAGAGCTACGATATCGGGCTCCACAGCCCCCACTGAGGTACAAAGACGACTTCGATGCGACTGTTACAAAAGACTTTTGTGTCCAGCGAACTGTCAACGGGAGCGAGGACTGCCTGTATCTTGAAATATATGGGCGGCCTTTCGTCAAGGGTGCGAAGAAGCCGGTTGTGGTGAGTGCTACGTACCTTCGGCAAGAAAGCCGGTGGTGTTGACGTATCAAACTAATAGCGATGCATGTGCAGGTATGGCTATATGGAGGCGGATATATCCAAGGCGGGGGCTCGATATCCTGGCCTCCCTTTGTGTTTCCGACTCTGAATGTGTCGAGTGAGAATGACTTTATTGTCGTTTTGCCGAATTACAGGGTAAACTCTTTTGGATTCCTGGCAGGAGACCTAGTAAAAGAGGATCCAACGACGGATTTGAATGTGGGATTGTTGGATCAGAGAGCGGCGTTGCAGTGGGTGCAGAAGGTTTTTATGGCCTTTTCTCAAGTTGAAAGAAGAGACATTGACATGACGCTGGACATAGTACATCCACATCTTCGGCGGCGATTCTTCGAAAGTAACACTCTGGGGCCAGAGCGCCGGTGCAGGATCCGTACTTTTCCAGACAATTGCAAAAAGCCGTAGGCCCACCTAATATCATGCTTCTAGGAACGTATAGCTAGGTTGAACTAACACTCCACAGCTCAATCGCTCTTCCGCAGTGCCGTTGCGTCGTCACCCTTTGTGCAGAAACAATATCACTACAATGCGCCCCAGATCGAGCAAGTTCTCACCACCTTCCTCAACTATACCAACTGCTCCGCCGTCCGGTCCCAAGCGATAGGTTGTCTCCGCAAGGCCCCCCTTCAAACCCTGCGCGATGCTAGCCTTGCTGTCGATACAATCCACGGCGAAACCCTATCGCATGCCTGGACTCCAGTCATTGATGATGAACTAATCACCGAGCGGTTCAGTGTCGCTACGGCAGCTAAGCGTATCAATAATAAGTATGCGCTAATGGTCTATAATACCCACGAAGGCGAAAACTTTGTACCATCAGCCGTAGGCAATTGGGACGAGTGGATGAAGGAATACCTACCAGGCTTTTCAGACTCGCAGTTTAAAGAATTAGAGAAACTATATCCAGACGAGGAAGGTGCGAGCTTAAGGGCAGCTTCAATATATCGAGACTCAGTGTTGGCCTGCCCGGCATTATGGGCCGCTTCGGCAGCCAGGAAGGGGTGGCTGGTTGAATTTGGCGTGGGAACGGCAAAACATGCGAGTGATACGCAATTCGTAAGTGCCCCTGCACTAAACCGATGACTGCTCCCAAACTCATAACGGATATTAGTGGAACACAATTCAGCCAGCACAGCAGCAATATCCTCACATCTATCAAGCCTATGCAGGAGGGTATGCATCATTTGCGCAAACTGCAGATCCAAATCGAAACTCTCTGACACGGGTGGTATATCCGGAGGTGGGGACAGAAAAGCTATTTCTACTAGGTGATGGAAGTAGGGCGGTGGCGAACCCATCAACCCCAATTGGTACTGGGAGCTTTGAAGAGTTGAAGGAGAAGTGTGACTTCTGGAGGACGAATGGAGCGAGTGTACCCTTGTGATGTGATATTGTAAATAAAATGATATATATCTCTAGGATCTATAGATGATTAATTGAGTTGAACAAGATCTTCGGGATGAAGAATCTTGGTGCTTTATATATCTGTCTAGCTATTTGCGCAGACAATGGACATGCAACGTATCTTGGCGACTTGAGGACACACCAACAATCATGAAGTGGTCAGAATTAAAGTGCAGTTGACATATTGCAATTACATTTTACATGTGTAGGCATACATGCACTTTGTACGTGTCTAAGGCATACGTATACATATAGCTCAAAGAATAAACTTTGATAGATACTAGACGTGTCAGTATATCTATTGTATATACTACGTATATATCTACCGAAATCTTTATATGATCATATTTTGAGGTCGGTACATGTAGTACTATACAGGAGGTGCCCTGTATATCACTAGTGTCGTTCATGCATGGACCATCTCGAAGCTTCCGCCAGCTAACTGCACTCAAGTCAACACAGCCACAGAACTAAACTCTCCAGGGTGGCAGTACCTGATAAGTCAGTTTATAAAAGCTAATGCGAGCCTCGGTGCCTCGGTGCCTGCTGACTGGTGTGGAGCCTTTACCATGGTACTGCCCAATTAAACCACCTCCGGTCGTCACCTTAACCGATCAATGATCAACTATCAACTATCAATCTACCTATTCGATGTGGCCTTGTCAGATGATCGAAAATAGGTTCTTCGGTTAGATCTTGTGGGGTCGCAAGTACGTACATGCACTCAAGTACTACTCTAGTAGAGTAAGTACATGTAGGTGCACATCGAGCCCATCTCAGACAATCCCAAGAGAAGTAAAGGCCGCTGATGTATATGTACGTACGTAGCCATTTCTTTTCTGAGTCCTAGCTACCACGAATACACGTAGCTGCTTGTATTACAGACGCCTTTACTAGAGCCAAGAATATTGTGATTCCCAGAAGTGCAGTTTATCTTACTCGTGGTAACTCGTACGTATCAACCTGCCACGTTGGGAGTACGCAACATTCAGATGTTTCAACTATTCTGCAATATCAACTTCTTATTATTGCCTATCAGTTCACCACTAGAGTAACTGGTGCCAAGATTCGGTGCCCACGCCGCACTCAACAAGTTCCTGCCAAGACCCTACACACAGTATGATATTCACCACCTCGCTTACCATTAAGGTTTCAGGTATCTGGTACTCTAAGTCTCTAACACACCGTGCACCAGCTGACATTACTTTGCGATAATAATTCTTCAATTTTAGTTTCGGGCCTTGCCGCCTTGGTGACTTTGAGCTGCCATAATAACATCATGCACAACCTAATCTAAACCTACAGGTGCCATATGCATACATGTATATTAATCTCATAACTGAGCTAGATACCCGAGCGGTAGCGGTAATAGTCTTATCCGCTACTCTATTTTATCTCTCTGAGCTGCAAGGCTTATAGCCCTGTGGAAAAAGAAAAATCCTCCCTCGCTATCTACCCCGCAAAACCCACCTGCCTGGGAACTCTCCCCCGAGTGTTGGATGCCAGCAAGGATCTGGCCTGTGCTTTTTGTCGATTTGTTGGCAACGATCATCTATCAAAGATTGCAGAACAATATTGATAAAGCTGAGCTCATCAAGGCGATTCCTTGTATCTCGAACTCTTGAATAGGTGCACGTTGTAAGTACGTACTTTATAGCGGGGCGAAGATTCTCGCCAACGGTAGCCGAGGTAAGGGGGTATAACTTTTCAAAAGCGATTTGTACATCTATACCTACTTTCCATCGCCAACCACCTCCCAAGACAACCTACAGCCAACATTGCAACTGTCCATCATGTCTCACGACGCAGAGAAAGTTAGCGCAGAGCAGTTTGAAGGATCCATAAAAAAGCCAGTCACGACAAATTGGGATCTTGAAGAAGAGGACTGGACGCCAGAGGAGGAAAAGGCGTTGGTGAGGGCATTGGATTTAAGAATTGTGCCATTGGTGACATTGCTATATCTACTTTGCTTCATTGATAGGTGAGTCCTTAGTAGCCGTTTGTTATAATTAAACTTACATAGCTGATTGGTTACGTTGATCGTTAGATCGAATATTGGGTATGTTTGCTTTTGTTAAGTAAAGTGGTTGGTTTGCGCTCGTGATTAACGCGACGACGCTGATCCCGCTCTTTAGAAATGCTCGAATCCAAGGAATGCAGGATGATGTGGGACTTGAAGGATTGAAATTCAATTGGGCATTGACAATCTTCTACATCTTCTATCTCATGTATGGCCCAACCCCTTCAATCGAAAACTCAAGCTAACATGCGGTTAGAGTGGAGATCCCAAGCAATATCCTTCTAAAACACATTGGCCCTAAATTCTACAGTGAGTTCTACACTCGTCGTTCTTAACAACCACGCTGAATATATCTATAGTTCCGTTTTTAATCTTCGCTTTTGGTATCATTTCTCTCTGCACTGCGTTCGTGCAATCATTCGCTGGGCTATGTATCGCACGTGCATTCCTTGGTATCGCAGAGGGCGGTACTATGCCTGGTATCGCGTTTCTGCTGAGTTGCTTTTATAAGCGTCATGAACTACTGTTCAGAATTGGGATCTTTGTGTCTGCCTCTTCCTTGGCGGGCGCTTTTGGTGGACTATTGGCGACAGGTTTATCGTGAGTTATAAAGATATTCTCAGATATTTTGTGAGAGATGCTGATAAATGTATGTCTTTAGAAAGATTCCCACATGGGGGGTAAATAGCGATCCTATTCACAGGTATGACTATCAATATCAAATCAGCCATCCCAATGCTAATCCAATCTATCTCAGTTGGCGTAATATCTTCTTCTTCGAAGGCCTGATCACCGTTGGCGTCGCCATCATGGGTTACTTCCTCATGCCTTCTTCCCCAGCCACTTGCAAATTTCTCACCCCTCGTCAAACCCACATTGCCACTCTCCGCATCGCGCATGATCACAAGGAGTCCGCCCCCGAGGCCACCTCCCTCCACCATGTCAAGCGCGCCCTCTTGAACATCAACAATCTTTTCTGCGCCTTCGGCTTCTTCTTCATCAATGTCACCGTACAATCCTTCTCCCTCTTCCTCCCCACCATCCTCAGAGCTCTTGGCTGGACCAGTACCCGTGCGCAGCTGCTTACTGTCCCGCCGTATGCGGTTGCATGCTGCTTCTCTATTTTTATCGCTTGGTTATCTGATAGGCACCGCAGGAGAGGTATCTATCTGTGCTTTTGCAGTTTGTTGACCATTATTGGGTATGCTGTGTTGGTCACGGTGGATAGCCCGAATATCAAGTACATGGCTGTCTTCTTTGCTGCAAGTGGTGCTTTCCCGCTTGGTCCTGGGTTCCTAAGCTGGAGCTTGAACAATGCCGCTGGTCCCTCGGTCAGGGCGGTCACGGGAGGATATGTAGTCTCAGTAGGAACAGCGGGAGCTATTCTCGCAACGTATGTATTCTCCCCTCTCATCCACCTTGCTAAGCTCATCAATGTGTGTGATAGATGGACCTACATCCCCTCAGACGGGCCAAACTATATCAAGGGGCACTCGATCAACCTTGGTGCCCAGGCTATTGCCGCGACAATAAGTATCTGTGCAGTCCTGTATATCAAGTGGGAAAACAACTTGAGGAAGAGAGGAGGCAGAGACTACAGGCTGCAGGGATTGACCGAAGAAGAGGCGAGGGGTTTGGGATACAGACATCCCGAGTTTAGATATATTGAATAATTTGCGTCGGGCAAAGCTCTTAGGGGTGCTTTTGGCTGGACTTGTGCAGAATTAATAGCAAGTATGAATCATGTAAAGATATTTGCATGCTGGTATGATTAAATGAATGTAGTGGCGTTGACACAATAAACCTAACCTGGAAGTATGCATTCATTCCTGGATGAAACATGTCTAACACCCAGACACGGGCATCTGAGTGGATAAGCGGTAGTTGTAGAAATCACAGATACAGCTGCCCTCGGGACAACTGCGAAACTGGTTGGACGACGAACTAGGATGTCTAACAACGTTAACCGCTTGATCGGCTAGAGTTTTTTTTTAGTTGTCACAAAAGTATATATATGCTGTTTGTGTTGTGCATGCGGTGATATTTAATTGCTGGTTTATACACAAAAAGAAGAAAAGGTACTGTCTCATAGAAACTACATGTACCCCTACCCCCTGGATCCGTACTCAGAACCTTACCACACGGTGTTAACACCACGTACTCGTCATACGTCATTGCATTGTGGTGCAGTGTCCGAAAATGATAGTTGAGGAACTGGTGCCAAGACAGGCCAGAAACCTTATTTTCTCATCAACCTCAACCGCACTACATCATGTACGTACATGTACATACGCACTCCCGTTGAGTGTACATGTGCAGTGGTTCAACGACGATGAATGGTCCCGGCCTCGTCAAACTTTGAATATTCATAGCACGAGACATGATCTCCTGCCGACTTCTACTCCTATCTAACAGCCGTCTGATATCAACTAGAGAATAAGGGGGCATGGACTACAATAACACACAAAGAGAAGGGTGAGAGCTGGTATCATCAAATCCCCCAAATAAGGTACGAATGTATACGATCCACCAATTTTGTACTGAATATATTCATGCCAATCTATAGATATCGAGAGATAATAGCCTGATATCTAATATAGTAAGCCTCAGTTTGACTCGGAGGTAACGGACTATATCTTCCGGAATCCCATCGACTCAGAGATGTGTGATTGATGAAAATTCCAATACATAAACAGTACCCTCAGTTTACCAAGAACATCCGCAACTCCCTGGAGTGGCGGTCTTGTGAGCTTCAGTACCAAGTTCTTAGCAGTCTGAAAATTTGACATGCTGCCTGCAAGACCTTTATACACTCCATACCAAAAACTCGAAACTAATTGCTACCTATTGGTGGGATGCCAGGGTCCAGGGTTGACAGCATATGCGCATATATGCCTTGTAAAGACACGCCACGATATCCCAGTAAAGTACCCAAGTCGGGGGTTCAGCCCCAGTAGATCTTGTATTCTATCGGTTCTCGATGCGTTGGAGCATTCCATCAAGCTCCGGTGAGGGTAAATGGTCCTATTAAAAACAAGATAAGGTACCAATTGAGAGGGGACTATGTGGGTAAAAGAATCGTCGCTAGATGCATACCCAGGAATGCTCAGCACTCAATTCCTAAACCACGCCGCACGCCATGCATGCATTGGCCCAATAACTTTAACGAAACAACCGCCCATGGAGCTGTCAAATATCCTTATCTAGTTAGGTGGCTGACCACTTAATCTCCCTCGGCTCACAACTCAATCTCCCAGTCCATGCCATTCACAAGCCACGTCTAGATCTACAGTCTGCTTATTCTCATTCCCTTAGGGAGTAAATCTGGCTTACGCAACGATTGAGATTGTTTCGTTGGTGTTTTATTTACTGGGAGTTGCAGGGATGATCGGAGTCACCGGGCTTTAGTGCCTCGTTGTAGGTACATGCTATGGCACCAGTAATACGACAATTGCCCTGCATTAAGTAGATTGCAATGAACTGGAATGTGGTATTGTAAGGAGATTTTGCCGTTAACCTGGACCGTGGGTTTTTTTTTTTTTCTTTCCGAAGGGCCAATCAAGACGGAAGGATTTATGCCAATACTTACATAGATGAGCAGAACTTGGGAGCTGGAATGAAGTAGATCTGAGATGTGGTAGGAGGTCGAAAGTTGACTTATTTGGAATATCGAACGTTTATACTCATTTTCGAAGGTTTTGCACTTTCACTTTTGAACTGTATTTGTCGAATCGGCTTACAATGACAAAGGTAAAAACTGCACTCCAAATACACACGTAACGTGTACATAACTCGACGGTTGTGGCTGACGCCGCATTTTCCCGAGCGCGAGTGGCTTAAAATACCGTTAATTCTCGAATAATCCACTATCCTCGTATTTATATGTAGTAAGTCCGAACCAAGGCGAATTGGCGTATCAAGCTTCACGGATTCGTGCAGATACATATATGTATGGACTTTTTATCACCCGGAATTAAGATTTAGCGAAGCGGGGATAGTGCGTTTCTCGAGAATTAACGGTAAATCTCACCAATCTTATCTTCATCAACGATACATGGTCCTAGCACCTGGGTGCAATCTATTCCTATTTGGGGGTACTTTCAATATCTGGCCGGTAATATGAGCTCTCTCGCTTTTATCCTCTAGTCGGTTATCTCTTGATCTCGTCCTTCATGCATTGACCATTGTTTGATCTGTTGTCGTCCTATTAACAAATCTTTGCACAACAATCTTAACAAATCTTTGCTTAGGCTTTCATCGCCGCTCGCTATCGACCAAAGCCTGGGTCGGGGGACTACAGGTATACTACACGATAGCCCAACTACCAATATTATCCTAAGATACAGCGAATAAATAATATTCTTTGAGTATGGGCAGCCCCGCATTATGCTCCACAGTATTGATTGACTCTGGAATGAAGGGAGTTTATCATTCGAGTGCGTGGTAACAGTCCTTGCGGGCCCTGCATGATCATAGTGGTTAATTTGATTAGCACGGCGACCCAACCGGGCATAGGATTCTCCGTCTTTGCTCTTGGTGCATTTGTCGGATTTAATCCAGATTAACTCAGGCCAACCAGATGTTAGCATAAGCTCGCCAAGACAGTCTCAACCACCCAAAGCGGTATAATTATCCTCCGCCATTACTAACGGCAATAGTTAGGCATGCATTCATGCTTAAAGTTTATAAGCCTTGCGACATCATTGTGGCCAGAAAGGTGTGACCGGGTTACATAGGTACTCAAGGGTCTGGGTGGGAAGTATTGCTCGCCAATCGGTAAAATGACTACATCGACATTCCTTCCAAGACTTGATCCTTCACTTCCCGGCCCCAGCCTGACAGATAACGGAATTCACGATGAAAAGTGCTAATCGGCGATATAACTCGCTGTTGGTTTGGGCGGATGGAATGAAGTTGACCCGATGGCCATGTGTCTAGGTGTAGATATAGTATCTCGCGAGTCATACATCCCATTTGAGACACATTCTTTGTGGAACCTATGAAGAGAAACAAGCAATGAAAGAATACGCATACGGGCCCGATTCATAATCAATATTTGGTTATCCACCAAAAGATCCTAGATGAATCCTCTTTGCAAGGCTGCATTACATATTAACCAATCTACTGGGCTGCATTGGACTGCGGCTGCTAGTCAACTCATATCGTATTCATTAAATTATTAATCACTCCGCTGCAATTCCAGTTCTTTGTTCACCCAAAAGATTATTCCTTTGTTTTCTTCGATACGCCAATCTCACCAAAATTTCTTATTTTGAGCCTCTCTTGGTACATATCTGATCGGATTTTGCGGGATTAATGGCAAAAAAAAAAAAAAAAAAACTCCTATCATTTACTGCTGGAACTACTCACCTAAAAGGGAACTAGCTCTTACAGTACGAGCTTATGGGTCAGTGTCTCTCGTATATTACACTTGACGCAATTGGAGGAGTTTATTTTGCATTTAGTAGTCATTGCTACCAATATCGACGATGTTCAACACTACAATCTACCTCTAATTGGTGGGTTAGTACTATAATCCTAGTCCCTGTTTTTTGAGGATCAAAATCTGCCTAATTAATCGTGTGCCAGTACTTCTATATCAGCTTAATCATTGTGCGAAATGGATGGTACAAATATCGGGCTCCCTCTCTGTTTCTGAAGCTTCTGAATCCATCAGATCATCACCCAGAGATTACAACTAGGCATATATTCACAAAGCTGTCACAAAAATACTACCCTAACTCCACAAATCACCGGCATCACCAGTCTACCAAAATGTCTACCTTATCGCCCGAATTGGGCGAAAAGGCCCCCTCATCAGCTCGATTGTCTGTACCTCCTACTGATATCGAGTCCTCAGCAACATCTACCACTGAAAGTGTCATCAAAATCGAAGCACCGGCACCAGTTCGCACTGTAACTGGAGCAAAGGTACGGCAGAAACGTATCATTTCCTCGGGAGTCTAATACTAAATTTAAATTCTCTAGTGGTTCCTCTTGGTTCTTTCCGTTCTCTCCTCGACCTTTCTCTTTGCCCTCGACAACACCGTAGTCGCCGATATCCAAGCCTCAGTTATTGCTCGCTTCGGTGAGATTGAAAAACTCAGCTGGTTAGGTATCGCCTTCATCCTCGCTGGTTGCTCCACAATCCTCACCTGGTCCAAGGCCTACGGCACCTTCAATCCAAAATGGCTTTACATCAGCTCCGTTATTGTCTTTGAGGGAGGCAGCGCCCTATGTGGTGGTGCACCCAACATGAACGCCCTCATTATCGGAAGAGCCCTTGCCGGGGTTGGTGGTTCGGGTATGTACCTTGGGACATTAACGCTCCTGACTATCACGACTACTGTCCACGAAAGGCCGACCTATATCGGTCTCACGGGGCTTATGTGGGGTATTGGCACTGTCCTCGGCCCGGTTGTTGGTGGTGCTTTTGCAGAGAGCTCGGCGACATGGAGATGGGCGTTTTACATCAACCTCCTTATCGGTGCCGCCTTTGCACCTGTCTATTTTATGCTTCTTCCAGGCATCGACCCACACCCTGAGGTCACGGTTTTGGAACGTGTCAAGAAACTCGATTTCTTGGGAATTATACTCAATATTGGCTGGCTGTGCTGCATCATCATGGCTGTTAACTTTGGCGGAACAGTGTATGATTGGGATAGTGGTCAGA